AATTGAACATGGTATTGCGACTAAGTGGGGTGATATGGAGAAGATGTGGTACCACACATTCTACAAAGGGTTGCGAGTGGCAACAGAGAACCATCCGGGGTTGTTGAGAGCAGTTTCATTGAACCCGAAGGCAAACCGTGAGATAACAAGGATCAGGTTTGAGACTTTTAATACACCAGGTACGTGTGCTGCTACTCAAACGGTGTTGTCGCTATGTACATCTGATCGTACAACTGGTATAGTGTTGGACTTAGGTGACGGTGTGACCCACACAGTTCCGATTTATGAAGATTATGCGTTGCCTTATACTGTATTGCGATTGGACTTTGCTGGTAGAGTTCTTGCCGACTCTAGGATGAAGATCCTGACTAAGACAGGTTGCAGTTCCTCTGTCTATTCGTGGAACATACTCAAGCGCAAACCACCGGACATCGTTTTACTCTATTGTAAGTCTAGAATGGCACCTATAAAACAGGTAGCTGTGCCTAGACTGGAACTAACAGCGGCAGTATTGAGTGCTAGAATGGGGGAAGTTTTAAATAAAAACCTTCCTCATGTGTTTGACAAGACTCACTTCTGGACGGATTCTATGATAGTACTGTACTATATAAAAAATACAGATAATAGGTATTCCACCTTCGTGGCTAATCGTCTGGCCGCTATTCGTCATTTAACATCTGTAGACCAGTGTGGGCACGTAGAATCCAATGAAAATCCTGCTGACTGGACATCACGAGGCATACGGAAGGAGCTAGATTTAAAGAACTGGATTGAGGGTCCTTCCTTCTTGAGGAAGAGGGAGTCTGTAGGAACACTAACGCTTATGTGCTAAAACCCCCCAGAAAATGTTGAATTTAAAAGATGTCACACGACCAACGCACTTGCGCTAAAACATAGCTTAAGTCCAATTCTGCTATATCACTCAAATTGGATAAAGCTGATTAAAGCGGTAGCATGGCTCAAAAGATACGTGACCTATATAACCATCATGTACTCCCGTCACAATGACAGGTCCCTAAGTGTGGGCTATCTGTCAGTTGATGAATTGGATGCAGCTAAACACAAGGTATTAGACTTAGTGCAAAAGGAAGTGTATGGGGAGGCAGTAAAAGTGTCTCGATGCAATGGCGTAAGCGCAACTGATATAAAAGAGCTAAAAAATCTTTCACCTACGCTAATCGATGGATTGCTTTGTGTCGGCGGACGATTAAATTACTCGGATTATCCACTCTCAATCAGACATCCGGTAATTTTACCCAGTCATCACTTCGTAACAGAACTTATTATTAGACACCATCACCACCTAGAAGGTCACACCGGGACATTACAAGTGTTAGCTACCATACCACGAAATTATTGGATTGTTAAAGGAACCAGTGCAGTTAAACGAGTGATAGGTAGATGTGTGAGGTGTATACGCGCGAAGGCCACATTAGGCCAACAGATGATGGCACCTCTCCCCAAGTGTCCAGTGCAGCAAGGCTGCTTTTGCTTCTCCTCCGCCGGGATAGACTATTTTGGGCCGTTGATAGTGCGTCGGGGAAGAAGTGAGGAAAAAAGATATGGATGCCTATTTACGTCTCTCCAAACACGTGCCGTACATTTGGAAGTAGCTTTCAATTTGAGTACTGATGCTTTTATAATGGCTTTAATGCGTTTCATGGGAAGGAGAGGAACTCCTAAGGAAATCTATAGCGACAATGGAACTAACTTTGTCGGGGCCACTTCCGAATTACGGGCTAATATGAGTGTGTGGGACAAGCATAGAATAAACGACTTAACAGTATCGAAGGGTATACGCTGGCATTTCAACCCCCCACTAGCTAGCCATCGAGGCGGAGTTTGGGAGAGATTAATACGGTCTGTTCGGAGGATCCTACTATTTATTTCCAACGGGCAAATATTACACGATGATAGTTTGGCAACTTATTTTGTGGAGGTAGAACGAATTTTAAACAACCGCCCAATCGTTCCTGTGACGTCAGATGAAAAGGATGATTTGGTGCTCACGCCAAACACTTTGTTATTACAAAGAGACTGTGATGGTTTAGGAATGGAGTGTTGTGTTGCGGATAGGTATTCCAAGCGATGGAGACAGGTAAATTGTTTAGCCAATACCTTCTGGCGTCGATGGATAAAAGAGTACATTCCTTTACTGCAAGTGAGGCAGAAATGGTTTTGCAAACAAAGAAACTAAAAAGGAGGTGATGTAGTTCTAGTGGCTAACGATACAACTACTCGAGGTTCATGGCCAATGGGACGGGTTGATAAGTGCGAGACAGATGAAGATGGGTTGGTAAGAACAGTGATGGTGCGAATGAGAGGAGGTGTAGTAAGAAGAAATGTGCGAAAGCTCTGCCTTCTAGAGGGAGCCGAGTAATTGTAGCTTAGGTTTATGGATGTACAGGCGTACTGTTGTAAGTCCTGTGCCTCCATTGATATAGAGCAGTTAGTAAGGAGAGCCATGACAGAAATGTATTCTAAGGTGTATTTGCGTAGCTGGAGGGATTTTGGGGGCCGGTGTAACGGAAAAAGAACAGTGAAAATCCCTCTGCAGCTTCTTTGTTGAACAGTATTTTCATTTATTTGTTCCTTCTCCCTTTTGTGTATTCCAACCTTTGTTTCGATCTCGTTTAACCATATCTTTTGTTCTTCAGTCTTCCTCGTTTGAGCCTTTACTATGTGATTTTGATTAAAGACTTATTTTTGGTCACCTAATTTTCTATTGCATGTCGCCGGACCATTGACTGTAAGGTTGTGTTTGACTAAGCTCAAGATCACGGCGTGGTTCAGTTTGTGACTTGACCTTCTGACTGTCTGCTTGGGAGAACTGCTGCAATCCCTGCAGATAGATATTTGATCCCATCTGATTGGGAATATTTGTATTGATTCTCAGGTATCAAACCCTTTAGTACTAACTGTCTCTTTCATTGTTTAGCGCGCTACTTTGCGTTAGAGAAACTTCTGACTGTATAGCACAGGCTGTACCGTTTGAGGTATTTTGTATTTTTTATGTAATTTGTTCTGTTTTCTTAATTAGAACCGTTTATATTGAGCACAGAGTTTGTGTTTTGAAATAACATAATACGAGTATCTCAAAGACGCGTTGTGAGCTATACAGAGGAACTTGGTCTGGTCTAATCGAATACATTTTGGGTTCGTCAGTCCGTTGTTCCAACCGAATATTGGCTGTTCGGTCGTTACTACTATAATAAAATACAAATATTAACAATTCAAATGTAGCCGAAAAGTTAACAATGTACAACTAAGAGGATCAATAGGAACAAAGTGCAAGTATATACATAGAGGGATTTTCACAAACACATAAAGCATTAAAAATGGATCTTATATCCCCCACATCCACCAAGTCGGTTAAAGCGGTTGAAATTCACTTTTCATCCTCTCAGTTTCACAGACAACACCCTCGCAGTGATTAGGACTTCCCTGGCAGTGGTTGTATGAGTGTGGCTATATGAGAGCATTTCGAGAGTGAGAACGGACTTTTCCCACCCCCATCAACACCAAGACACTTGAGGGGTTGTTGTTGAAAATATGATACATAGCACTATTAGATGAGTTTTACAAATGACGTCGTGGGTGAAAGCAAGCTTAGAATTGAAAGGAAGGAAATCCGCTATCAGTATGTAACGTTTGCCTATCTGGAACGTATGTCTGTATGTTTTGGTCATGGAAGAAGGCCGAAAGACCATGGGCAGAGACGACTCGGATATGCCTTACGTGTGTCCATACTTCTACTACTGTGACGCCCTATGATTTCTGGAATCGGTTGCAAGAAGGCGAGGGGTGAAACGTTCTGTTTTCTTTGGTAATATATACATGGACCCGCGTCTGTAAGTTATTCAAAAAAATAACAGAAACGTGAAGTGTATTTCTCCATAATTTTATTTATTACATGTGAACCATATGCTAAGACACTCACATTTCATGGATTTCTTATGATGGTCAACCTGATAAATCAAAGCATCGGATTTACAAATTAACTCAGGAATATTTTCAATAACAGTGAAATATGAGACAATATTTACACCAGGTTTACATTCACATTGATAACGTTAAGCTGCAGTCGTTCTTATGTTTCTAAAGGACTAAAAAAATCACGCGTCGACTGTGGAGATGATTGTGAAACTAAAGCGAACGTCCAGCTCGCTTTTTAGGGACATGGTAGAAGGTGCTTTTAGTAATGCTCTCCGTAGATTGTTCTGTAGTACCATAATTCTGACGACGAAACAGTTTGTATGGAGATCTGTGAGGGCTCACTCATGTAGTAAGGGCCTTAGTCGAAAATATGGAATAACTCAATAAACGAATTACATGATTTTAAGCAAAGAAGAATTTATATAACTGTGATATACTAACATGTTCATGAAAACTAGTTACCAATAAGGTAATCTATCACGACCTGAACAAAGCGTAATATATGCATAATACCGTATTAGTTAAAACGTACAATACTCTACTGTCAGGACGGTATACTGCTATTTTCCTGCGAAGTAAAAACACAGGCCCTTAGTTATCCAGCTGTCGATGTTAACACTTTGGAAATTGTTTAATAGCAGTGATCTTGAAATATGGTCAGTCAGACGTACAATCTAAAAACAGACTTATCACCTTTGTTCCAAAACGAACACTACTCTATAATGCATGTTGACGGTAAAATCCAAAGTCCTTTTTTTATTATTTGAAGGCAGATTGATTTGCATCACTTTACTCATTAGGAGCAGGCTGATGAAGGTTAAATTATAACAGTGCGTCCATATTACTACAGTCTTATTTATATACGAAATGAATCAGCGATATGTTCGGACAAGCGAGAATATAATAAACATGATGTGAATAGGAACATGTTGTGGAATTCCTGTTTCTGAATAGCAATGCTGACTATCTTTGCTTGATGAGACAGTATCTTTAGAATCAAATGTCTTTTTATCATGTATGATATCAGTTGTCAACTGTATAAAGCATTTTATGTCGAGGCCATGGTGACTATGGTATACCGCCATTATTGAACAAACCGAATTGTATGACCTTCAGGTGCGACAATACCTTTTTCCGTGTACGTTTGGTTGGGCCGGTATGTTTGATTACTATGCATTACTCAGTAGAATTTTAGGATATAAATCATATTGCCTGTTGTCCTGTACTGGCCTGTATTTGGATCTTGTTTACACTAGTTGTCACCATTTAATCTCATCAAATGTTATGAATGATACATTTCATGCCAGTCAAAACCAATATGCCAAAGGTGATTTGTGATTCCACTTTACTATAGATGCAACTTTCTTGCTACATAATATATTCTATTTTTGCTTTTAAAATGTTTACATGAGTAAACACCGGGTTTCAAAGTAGGTTTTTGCAACAAATTGGCACTAAACCGCACTTGTAAAACTCGCGACTTCATATTACAGTGGGTGTCAAAATTAAAGTGGCCTTTGAAAAGCAAAAAATGTCGACAAATCAAGATACCAAAATTACTGTATTCCAAGTTTTACCACAGTCTTATCCCTTACTTGGTGTCAGCTATAACGTAAATTGATTTTTTTATACTTAGACCTGTTACGAAACCTTTTTTCGTCTCTATATTTCTGCAACTGTCATACCACTGGTTGTATTGCTTTTCTGTGTAAATCAGGTTATATACCGTAGACTGTTTAGCTATTGATCCATGTAACTCGCTTCATTGTGTTATGTACAATACAATATATTTCTTGCACCTGGTTTCGCAATGTTTTAAGACAATGTTTGTTGCTTTATGCAAGAAAGTAACGTGTCTGTGTAGACTGATGTCTATGCCCAAGCTAATCACTACCCAATAACAACTTTACGGAACTGTAGTTCGGTGATTAAAGCCCTCGACTTTCAGCCAGTAAGTTACAGGCTCGAACCCGGCCCCTCCTGTTTCGGTTTGGGTACGTGGGTAATATCATTAGCCCTCACATTAGGAGTATGGCTCATGCCCAAGCTCCTGGAGAATAAGTTCATTTGGATTTTAGGAACATTTTGTATAAAACATGCTTGTATATCATTTCGGTTAGGGAAAATTTCCTACGCTGTTTTATTCTTTAGTCTGCAACAATGTCACCGAAACCGGTTTCTAGTCGTCGATATTTTTTGTATCAGCAGTTATTTTATCATTAACAAGTTGCTTCTGAAGTGAAAACCTATGACTTCAAATACGATATGAATAACAAAGTTTAGCATTACCAATTATTCAGTTGTATGTGTTGTTCTGTGCAATATAAGTATTATCTTCTCCCTGGTTGTTCGCAGCCATGGCTGATTTTTGCATTTCGCTGTTATTGATAGACGAAAAACATATGAAGTGTTTTTGTTGAATAAATTCATGATAGCTCGACATTAATCTTTAATTAATACAATAGTGACAATACCTCAACGTTTTCTACCTCTTCTATTTAGTGTGCGTTAGATAGATGAAATTCTTGGCAAGGGAAATTTTTGTAGTGCCTGTTACACAAACTAGCACCTTTTTGATACTAAGCTGTATTTTGAATAGATAAATTTTATTTTGCGAAGTAGTCACGGATAAATATGTTTACGTTTTCATAATGAATCATATCGTATTTTCCTGTTGATGTTGATATGGTGGTCAAGCTTGCTCGTCGTAACGAACCAGTCGGGTTATACTGGCTGAGACAACCTCTCCTCAAGGTCCTACCATGCCAGACAGGATGGTTGAAAAACGGTAAGATACAAAGCAGAAAACTCAAGGTCCGAAGGCGAAGTCGTACTGCTGACTATACAGAGGTGTGACGGCAGTAAGGTGTTTCCCTCAGGCGACCAGCATAACAGCGATGCTGCCTTCCCACAAAGGAAGGGTGGGTTAGAATAGGCCTACCCTAAAAATGCACACATTGCCTTGTTCCACGGATATTCGTCTCCGGCGGTAAGGACTCAACAAGTACGGAGCTAATACGAAGACTACTCACAGAAAAGTCGTGTGTGATTGACCTCGAGTAGTCCCTTGGGCACTGTGGTCACGTTTTCAGGTCGCTAAGATCACCTCTAATTCAGCATCTTTTTCAGGTACCTCTAGAAAAACCATTCCACGGTGTGGGTAACCGGGATGTGAAAACCAATCTCATACCTCTAACAGCACTTACGATCACTGTATTCACTATCCATTTCCCTATTCAATTCATATTGTTCCTCCTACCCCGACTACCAACCCTAAACTTCCTCCTCAAGTGTCACCATGACCAACGATTCTAGTGCGCGAAGTACTGTCCCAGGTCTACTGAATTATCTCTCCAAAGTACACATTTGAACCCTATGTCAAATCGGTCAGCAGGCCTCCTTGGCTTAGAGCCTAGAATCTCGTACCATTGATGTATGTTGTGTCTCCGAAACACGCATACATTAAGAAGATCCATTAGAGTTGAGCTCAGTGACGGGAAATCCAAAAGTAAATTCCATAAACTGAAGTCACTTAGGCAATTTCAGAAATGAGGTTGACCAAAATATTGCTTGTAAAGATACGAGCAGCTGTGGAAACAGCGGCGACATTCACTAGCGATTTGAAGCAAAAGTTTACGAAAAACCAGTGGATTTCTGCAACATTTATTGTACTGATAGACTCGCAAACTAATTCCATCAAGCTCCGAACACGATGATGAGCGAAAATAAATGAGGTCTAAGTTAGCCAAAAGTTTACGAAGCGATCGTGAGCAGTTGTGGGCAACGAAAGCAAAAGAGATGGAAAAGGTGACGACTGTAGGTAACACAAGATAGCTCTACAGACTAATAAAAGAAACCTAAATTAGGAAGCCAATTATAAGCGAGAGAATCTCGGAAAAAGACGGTATTCTTATCTGCTCTCAGCCCAGACGTTTAGAACGATGGTCGGAATACTTGAAGAAGTAGTTAAGCTGGCCTTCAACTACTCTACAGCTACCCACCATTTCAAAAAAGCCTGAATGGGAAATTGAAATAGACCCCTCCCCGACTCTAATTGAAGTTCAGAAAGCTATAGCGAATCTGAAACGAGGAAGAGCAGCTGGTCCGGATAGATTATTCCATAGGCCTTTAAGGATGGTGGTCCAGCTTTTGCGATCAGGCTGACTAATATTTTAGCTAAAATCTGGTATTTGGACGTAATCCCATCTGACTGGTCACAATCACTGATCGTCCAAATATATAAGGGGTCGAAATCATCCTGTGACAACTATAGATGGATTAGCTTCACTAATTTAGCATCTTAAATACTACCCTCAATAATTATCGGGCGCCTAACAAATACTCGTGAACTGCAAGCACGAGAAAATCAGGTTGACTTCAGACCTGGTCGTGGCTGCATCGACCACATATTCACCATTCGTCAGGTTTTAACACAGGCATACTTATCGGCATCCGACAATGGTGGTCTTTCTTGACTTAAAAGTAGTACTTGACTGTAGACCGAGAGGTTATGTGGCAGTGTCTGTTACTGAAAGGCATACCTCAGAAATACATAAACCTTGTGAAGGCTCTTTACTCGAACACTACCAGTCGAGTCAGAGCTTATGACGAACTGTCATCCGAATTCACAACCTCGTGTGGTGTCCGGCAAGGCTGTTCACTACCACAATTTTCGTTCAGTTTTATCATAGGCCTACTGCTGGAAATAACGTTCTCGTCGTTCGAATTTTCAGGAATTGATCTCCTACCAGTGTGTCCACTTATTGACTTAGAATACACACATGACATAGTCGTGTTTGGTGAAGACGCTGATAAAATTCAGTCTTTTAGTAACACTGAGCAACAATGCCAGGATGTTGGGAATATGTTTCTCCCCATGTAAATGCAAATTGTTGCTTCATGACTGGACTGCGTCAACACCTGAACTAAAGATAGGGAGTGTAGTAGTCGAACGCGTCAACAACTTCATTTGTCTTGAAAGTCTGATTAGCCCTAATGGATTGGTTTCTAACGAAATCTCAACACGGAATCGAAAAGCTCGTTTAGCTTTTGCCAACTTACGTCACCTGTGGTGAAGACGAGGTATCCGTCTACCAATAAAATGGTGAGTATACTATGCGGCAGTTTGTTCTGTTTTACTTTACGGCTACGAAACGTGTCCATTAAGAGTAAAAGATACTCGTAATTTACTAGTATTTGATTACAGATGTCTTAGAATTATTGCCAGCATTTGCTGGGAGTGCCGGGTAAGTAATAGTGAGATAGACGCAGAGTATTAGGGAACGAAGATAAATCAGTTGGTAAGGTTGTGAATCGTCATCGACGCATTCCCAACCACTGACTACCACGGCATGCAATTCTAACTAGTGTTGGAGATGGATGGAAAAAAGTTGGAAGCGGTCAAACCAAGACGTGGCATCAGTCCATAAAGTCACTAACTTCTGATCTGAGCCATGTTGGTAGATGGAGAATGCTAGGTTTTGGTCGGCACGACTATTGTAACCAATGGTCGGAACTGTGGGTGACATGGCTCAGAATCGATCACAATGGCGTAGGTGTATACACTATTTGTCTTCCCTTAAACCGTGAGATTAAAATTCCTTTTCACCTTTCTTTCTACGTTCCAATTTTTTTCCCCATGTATCATATCTTTACATGAAATCTTTTTTCATTAACGTTGAAGTAACTGCTTCTCTACGAATTTGGTGTGCATCTTGTTGTGCTAATGTTGTATGGCAAATTGGTCCGATGCAATATATTTGATTGATCTCACTTTGTAGCTGACTGACTGTTGATGCAATTAATCCGCGATTACTCTTGATAGTTAGGATATAGCTTTTCAGCTCCGACAGCATCTTAGAATAACCTATACGAAATACGGAAAGTAGATCTTGTGCTCTTTCTACTTTCTGTGTGTAGTTTCTTGCTTCATAGTAGTAATTCTGACCAAATAGATCCAATTTTAATCTAATCCTACAAATATCTCACCATACACTTGCTTATTTTGCGTTAGCTTTGATAGTACTATATTTAATATATTTCCTTAATATTACCAGTTAATTCATATTTGGTTCACAGAGTATCAGTTCCTGCATACCGAGTTCTGCTGGGCACCCCTGGCTTTCAGGTTAGTATTACGTTTGGACACGTGGATTTTTTTTCGAAGTTACCTACTGATTTTTTTTATAAATTATTAGTTTTAGACGTAAAGTAGTGTTGTATACATTCAATTCTGTATACTGCGATTGCAAATGGAAATGCAGTAGTAAGTAAAAGCATTAGTTGATTCCTTTACCATGGTTAGATGCATGAATACTGCTAAATCTAAGGAAAAACGAACAGTTGATTTGTCTTTGTTACCTTGAAAAAAGTAGTTGTTCTTAGTTAGATCTGAGATATGTGACAGGTGTTTTTTGTTGTCTCGGGGTTACTTATCTTAAGCACATCTCCACTTGGTTTTTGATCTAGTGTTTGATATCTTTATTTTTCCTGATTTTTACGCATTTATTTCCCTTGATAAACTTTTGTAAAGCAATAATAACGAACATTGTGTGATAAAGTAAATTCATTCCATTTCGTGTGCTTCAAGTCATCCACATGTACATTAATTTGAACAAATAAATGAGATGTCTTACAACTGTAATTTTCTGTGTAATATGTAAAAAATTCTCTATTCTACTAGTGAAGATAAATAATTATGAATACTTCCGATATTTATATAACAATTAGGTGAAGGGATTAAACGAGAGGAAAAGACGACGACATGATCCGATCTAAGAAACACGTGCAATCGTGATTATAGTAGAGAAAATGTAGAGAGTGACATTAATGACCGTAAACACGATAGTGAAATAATTATGACAATAATGATTATAATATATGAAAAGGAAGGAGTCCGATGTCTAAATTGATAAGGACTAAATATTTTATTATATGGTGTTAAAGTATGTCTAGTTATGATAACCATAAATACAAAAATGAAAACTACTAAAATAAATAATGAAAATATTTTGATTAGATATAAATGAAGACAAGCAAACAGAATGAAAAAATAGAGGAAGGGAAGTGCAGCAGTGAACTGACCAACCTAGAAACTCCAGATGTACATACTTTGGGTTTTAGACGACGAATAGTCTTCACTTCTGCGTAACGTAGAAGTCTGTCGTTACTCTTTCTGTTTATTACTCGAAAAGCAATATCAAGGTCTACTGGATGGCCCATGTCCAATATATGTTCTCCGACAGCACTGCTATGTAGTTTAGGGCCATTCAAGATTAGATTTCTCTGGACGTGTTTTGAGATTCTTTTATATAATATTCTCTCCATTCTTCCGAAGCTCATGATATTACGTGAACAAATAAACAGGCAGATTCATTTTAAGGTAAATATAAAGGAGCTTTACGCATAAAAGGTTATAGTTTTAACTTCAGTAAACACTGGTAGTTTTATAGTTCAGCTACTTCTGTCTAATGGGACCACTCGATCTATATTATATGCGTTGGAGGCCCAGATCAAAGTAGAATGAGAGCTAACATTCAATAAGGAATGTTAGTATTAGTAAATTTGTAACCCAACATTCTCTTCTTTTTTATTTCGAAACTAATCGTTTGATACCAAAGTTTCTGCATTCGACATGGGCTTCCTTAATTTATAGATGGTGTGGCACGTTTTACGGAAGTTGTTCAGAGGTGCGTCATTTTAGATGAGAAAGTATCATGTAAGTTGCTTGTTCGCATACAGTTAATCATTTGAACACTAAGTAATATGAGGTATAACGAATAATTCATTTATCGTTCTTGAAATATACGTGGCTGACAAGATTTTTCGACCGTGAAGTTTTTAATCCATCGAACCAAATGTTGTTCTCTGAATTATTGTTATCCAAATGATCTTTTCCTCGGTTTTTAGTTAGTTTCTGTCGTCATATACCTTAATCAAGTTTTTCCACATAAATTTATTTCGGCTCACTAATAGCTGAATATATAAACATTTACTTGGTAAATGTTCCATGACCAGGGTTGCTTCAAATGATCACTTATCACATGTATACAACAAAAGTGGATTACTGATTGGTGTTGAGGTATTTCAGTAGCCTTACAAATAAATTTAGGTTAGTGTGTGGTGAACGAGAACATAAGGGGGGATAAAATTACAGAACATCTTCGAAAAATCTAAGAACCATACAGCAAATATATAATTTGCAAAATCTCAACCAATTGTCTCAAACTTGACTGTTCCTTTTGCAAATGCCAGTCAGTCGTCTCAGACTTTATTGTTCTTTCGTTTCCACACTACTCATTCTTTGTTCTCGTTCTCTTTTCTTTCATATTCTTAACCTGCTGCCGCCAGAAATTTCACTTTCTATTGATGACACATACTGCTTAGATCTATCGAAATCGGTAGCATACACCACAGTGGACGGCTCATATTTTCGAGCTTTATACACATATCGTATAACTACTAGCCGTTCGATCTTGAAGTCATTTTAGTCAGACTAACTTTATAATTGTGAGAAACAGATATCTGTACTTATAAACTTAAGTGATAAGCCTTTCCAACCTTCTAGAGTAGGTTCAGGAATTTGTGATCGTCACGCCCAAATGCCTTGGTACGGCCGAGAGTCCGCTCTCTCTCGAAATGCTCTCACATGGCCATGTGTATATAGCCTCTGCCAGGGAAGTCCTACTCACTGGCTTCTCGAAGCGGGGGTGTTGTTCACGAAATTGAGAGCACGAAAAGCGAATGTCTGGAGCTTTAACCGGGTTGGTGGACATGGAGAGTCCACCTAGGGGCGTTGGAAAACCCTGATTCTAAACCAATGGTGCATACGGGCTCCAAGATCCTGCGGGAACAAATGGCGTATGAATCTATTGTTGGTCACCGGCTACCATGGGACTGTATCCTCTTACAATGCTCCACTGCCTTGTGGATCAGACCTTTGGGTCGAAGGCTCCGGGTGTGGCTCCATAAGAAAACCACCTGGTTCGGTTTGGGCACCCGGGCAGTATCAGAGCCCTCATACATATCGAATGAGATTTGTGCGGCGCATATGTATTTGGTGCCTCTTTGATCGTCACGCTCAGAGCTTTTTCATTATTAGTTAACTCAAAGATAATACAAGTGTCTTTTCAATAACCATGTGTATTGTTACAGTTGGGTTTTTTTCAGAGACTTCTGGCGGCTTATCTGTTTCATTTCACATAGATACAAGTGTCATTTTGAAAGGGCTTTGTGTAATTTGGTTCTAACAAGAATAAGAATACTGAAATATGATTTCTCAATTTCGACTGCAGGTTATTAACTTTTCGCAACGAATTTAGTGTGTAAAATTTAAAATAACTAAAGAATAAGAATCGCAGTTCACTAACTTCCCAAACTTTTCGACCCTAGTGTTCATAAAGAACACGATAAACTCTCGAGGCACATTAAACCGAAGTTTAGTTATATCCTTGAGAAAGAGCACTAATGTCCTACAGATTCAATCTGACTACGATTAATAGATGGATGGTACGTCTCTTACCTTTTAATTCCCACACCATTCGTCCTCTTAACTTTTCCACTGTAATCACTGTCTATCATAACTGTTTTTCATCTGATATTTTGTACCAGATGTAGTAGCTTTGGATAAAATATAACTTCCATGTTATTCTGTACTGATATTAGTTGGTATGCGGGTAAAGAGCCAAATTAAATATCAGCTTCATAACTTCAATTTTATGTTCTCAAACAATCATTCTGTTGCACAGTATTTCTAAGTCCCGTATTTGGTACAAATCCGTCTACTTGGCTTCAAGCCATACTATGAATGTAAGGAGCAGTGATACTACTCGGTTTCACAAACTGAAGTAAGTGGAGCAGGTTCCAAACCTTCGACTGGGTAACCGATAGTTGTGTGGTAAGATTTCTGAACTAAGGAAGTGCTGAATTGCTTGTCTTAAAATCCTCGTTTGAATGACGTAAAATAATTCACCTTTAGCTGTAATCCTTAATGTAGAATGAGTCTCATGAACTAGTTCTTTCTTCCTGTACTATATCCTTATATGCAATCTTTCTTTTATATATTACGACTATTGAATTAACTACTTCTATGAATTTGGTGTTCATCTTGTTGTGCTAATGAGGTGTGGCAACTTGGACCGATGCACATATGTGCCTGGTAGTACGTTGTAGCTGATTGGTTGACTGACATGTGTTAGGAATGTTTGTTTATTTTTCAAGACAACACATAATGTGTATTCAGATTAGTGTAACCACGTAAGGCGAAATAATCTTAGTCTAAAATCCCTACTATTTAAAAGTAATAGAAAATCATACTATTATTAAACATATCTGTACACAGATTAAAAAAATTTTCAAATGTATCAGCATAGACGGTAATCGAAGAGGTTGCTGTGATCTTATAGAAATAAAAGTTTGTACTTCTGTATGCAAATAATGATGCCAAATTTTTTCAGCCCATCATTCTTGACTTCACTTATTCTATCACTACTAGGTTCCGGAACATCTACCGAACACAGAAATAATGGAGACTGTATTAAGCGCTCGGAGGTAAATTATTTGCTTTTATAAGTAGGTTGGTTTTAGCTTCTATTATCCACATTTATTCACTGTATTGTATATATATCAATGTTGTATGGCATTTTTTTGAGATAATTTAAGTCTCTTACAACTCTACCCAGTCACAACGCGTACCTATACGCACATAGTTCTTATAACATTGTACCAGAAATATTGATTATTTATGTTCTTTTAATTTTTCCTATTAAAAATCAATTTACCTCTCTTTTATTGATAGTTTTCAGTATGAAGCTAGAAAATTCGTGAACTGTTTATCAAATCAATACCAACTCTGCTATTTTTCCTTTCTCCTATAGGCTATTTACAAGACACTGAATAATGCTTTTAGTGACCTTATTTCTGTCCCGACCTGTCAACCAAATTGGGAATACGATGTTTCTAATGCAGAGTATATAGATTTTCAGGAGGTCAGTTAGGATTTGATAACATTTCATTTCTTAAAAATATTCCTATGTAGTATTGATAGTTATTAGTTATACCTTATTTTTATTGCGATAAAATCAAATCATTATTATCCTTCTTATGAAATTCGTAGTTGTAAATGGTAAAGTCCCTTATTGTTCTTGGTTATCGTACATTCCACAATATGTTGACTAAAATTATATCAAGGTAACTATAGTTTTGATACTTTAATGGATTTTTCGCATCATCCTTGGTTATTATTTTTTTGTCGTGCTGTTGATACGAGCCTATTAAAAGTCTTTTTCGCATTCAATGTAATTTAAAAATACGTTTTTTCGGTTGCCTACATATATATACCCTTTTACTGATTCTTTTTACTGCTAATTATAATGTAAATTGGTTTTGTATAGCAGCGCTTGTTAGAGTTGTTCACTACTTAATTTTCACAGTTCCCACAGATATTCTCCTAAAAGTGACTTCTTGATCATCTAACTTTTTACAGACCACACAGCTTATTCACCAACCTCACGTTTGTGTTCCTGCTTTCGAGCCATCCTACTTTTGTGACGACCAAAGATACTACCAAGTTGCCCAAACCAATGTTTGGGTTTTAGTAGTAGGTTAGAAGAACATTAGAGGTGGCCAAACCAGCATGCGCCATCTATTCATCAAGCTGTCGATTGTTAGTTTTCCTGGTTCGGTTTTTCACAATGATCGTAAAAAGTTTTTGGAGACCTCGAGTGATGTGGCTCAAACTCGAATTCTGTAGCTTATTCTAGTCTTATTAACTAACTTTCAGTGTCCTAGTGTAAACTATACCAAGCTGAACCAATGTCCATTTACACCAGTCGCCATGTTGTTGATGACAGCAGCGCTATTTTACTGTGTACAGTCTCATTTATTTTATTGTCACATTAATGAAGTTATAGAGACATCTTAACTTCCAAGTAGTTTACAGATTGATTATTTTTTAAGTAGTCTTTGGTTTAGTCGCCTTTTATTAATGTGAATGAGTTCAGCTCTGTTTTCGAAATCATTTCATATTGTCCTTGATGTATTTGCAAAACGTTTGACATCATTTTTTTGTGAGTTTCATGAGTACTTTCCTTTATGATGCTTAGCTACACAGTGTACTCATATTGTTTACCATATTCTTTTATACTAGCATGATTTATTTGATGAGCGATATGAATGAATGCCTTTTTATTTGTTTGAAATCCACCCTTGCCATTATATATTCAATAAGTTCCTTTTTCACAGCTTCATATCTCTCTTTTTACTTTTTAATTAGTATCAAATAGACTTGATGAAGAGATTTTGTCATGTGGATGAATCTGTTTTGATTAGCATAGCTGAAAATCTGCAAAAATGTTTAAACTCAACTCACTGTTCTCCTAACGGGAGCACATGGTTACTCCACTTATTCGTGATTGCATTTTTCGTTTCTTATGTAAGTTTTAATACTTTACAATGCATATATATATTTTGTCAACTTGTAAACACTGTTACTCTTTTTTACATCTTGTTTGAATAGATTGTTGACAAAGGAAAAATCACCGAGTTTTCGACTATGTATAACGTAAAAATATTTCCATTGTTTACTTCTTTTAAAGTTCCGTTGTATAATGGTAAAGTTTATATATTGTTTAACGAAAAAGAATAGAAATTTCTGTTATAAACATCATTTCTTATGAATTAACCATAATATACTACTTAATCTGATTTGGTAAGCCAATCAGAAGTACCTCGATGGAGAAAATCACCAGGAATAACGCAAATCCAGCCTCACTCAAGGATATCTGCCCTGCTGAGCCAATGTTCAGAAGTAAGGTTCAGATTTTATTTGATAGCATGTTTCCACAAAGAAGAAGGCGAAATTATGCACTCAAGGCGACGAGAACTGGACATCTGTTTCGTAATGGATTACCAGTGGATGTAAGAAACCTTCGACAATGGGGGCCTGCGTAGGTATCGGGTGTCATTGGAAGAAGAGTCGATGACATGTATAAAATTGATGTTCGAAGTAAATGGGTGACGCTATATGTAAACCACATCCTCGTTAGATGACTAATTCCGGATGAAGAACCTCCTAGCTGGGACTTGCTGCTTGATTACTTAATTGATACAGTAAGCAGCCAAACTCTAGTCTTCTGAAGTTTGCTGAAGCCATTGCCATCAGGCGTCCCAAACCTGACCTATGTATTCAAAAGGAGACGGTGGTTAATCTTTCCTTGCCCTGGTGACAAATATATTCCTTCACTGCACCTTAAAAAAATTTTTTTTGTCTTTTTTTTCACTTGTTTTGCATTTATTACACCATTGACTTTTTTATTTTTTCAACTATTTTTCAAATTAATAATCTTTCAACTGAACTCTACTCACTAAATTCCTTCAATGTTATTCATTATGTAATCGATTGTTTCTAATCCACTTTTGAACTGTTGTCATAATTAATGTTGTAGAATATTCTCTCACATTAGGTATATAATTACAATACTCAGTTAGCAATTTAAACCCATTATGTAATTATGAATTTTAAATATCACAGGTTGTAAGCAGCTGACGAGAACCTACGAAATAAAATGAATTCATGCTATTCTGCTAGAATCTTTGTTCTTGCTCTTTTCAAAATGATACAGTCAGCCTGGAGCGACAAGATAAACGCATAAGAAGTGATGGTCATAACCCAAGAAAATCATCAAAAAGACGACGTTTCCCTGAACGCCTTCAATTAAATCCAAGGAGCAAGACCTATTTTTCAGGAGGAAAAAGTGATACGGTAATCCAATCAGAAGTGACCTGAAAGACAGGTTCATTTCATGGACTAAGAAATGTATTAATTTCCTAAGGGGTAGAGTTGTATATATATTGGTGAGTATTCGTGCATTTTATTTGGTAGCCCAATATACTTTCTCGTCCACTATTGTGATATCGCGCAAGTAGTCAGTTCGGGGGGAAGGCTAGCGCATAACACATTGTGTATCAGTTCAGATTTTGGGCACCGCCCGTCATAACAGAATGTTCTTTATTAATGATTGTCTTGTTTCCCCAACCAACATTTTTCTGGGCTTTCCTTTAAAGTTGCTATCAAGTGCTGTTTATTCTTTCGATGTCTGTCTTCGATTTTCGGCGCAATGTGTTCTTTGAGCTGTATGATTTCCCTTCCCTTTGATGACTATAAGTCGAAAAAGGCAGCCCGGTAACCAAGTAAACGAAGAGTGTCGAGATGGCAGAATCAAAAAACATACCAGCTGAAGCACTGAAATTAGACATAGCGGTAATTCAAAATATGCTTCACGTTTTATTTAGAAAAATCTGGGAGGAAGAACATGTGCCGACAGACTGGAAAGAAGGATACCTCATAAAGATAGGAGGGAGTTCTCAGCAAGTGTGAGAACAACAGAAGTATCACACTACTATCAGTACCAGGAAACGTCTTCAACAAAGTGTTAATGAAAGATTCAGTTGGCGCCCAACTTCGAGACCAACATGCTGGCATTTGTAGGGATCATTCACATGTCGACTAACTCGAGCATTTGTTATTTATATATCGCAAACTCTATCGAAATGCATCTCTGAACATCATACTTCGTTATTAAAAGTATTTTTGAAGTCAGTTCCCGCAAACATTGGTCATGTTACTTCACCAAAATCCTCCAAAGCTATTCTTAGACTCAAACAGAATGTTTCAAAGGAAATTCCATCCAAATATTTATATACCACAGAGTTTAGGGACCAGTTGTTTCCAGCCTAGTTTCTGTGTATTATAGCAATATGTTCTATCCCTTAGTTAATTTGATCTCAACTTCCTTCCTATACTCTACGCAAAAATCTATTTTTAGTATTCCGTCATTATTTCTTTATAATATGTGATGACCTATGACATGTAATTATTCTGTTCTTTGTATTCATCAAACGAACAGTTATCTCTCTCCTGCATAATATTTTTTCACATTACTCACTAGTCAATCGACCGTTAAATAACTTCGTTTTTATATTTGGTATTCCCAAGTAATTTGTGACTACGTTACATTCACAATATCTGAATATTCTTCAAGTTGTAATATATGATCTGCTTTCATCTTGGTCTATTATGTAACCTTTACTGATACTTGTAAGAGACTTTCAATATTGTCTTAAGTGATCCCATATTTTATACAAGAAAGAATTCATCAAAAAACGATTGTCTTCGCTGAATCATCTTTGTTACTTCTTCAATTTGAAGCTTGTTAAGACCGAAAAATAAGCTATGTAGCGCAAAATTTAGCGAAATTGTATGCAGATCTGATTTATTATAAATCATTGACCATATACGGTTCTAGTCTATGGTCAACAACAAATTCGACGATCTAATTAACTAGAGGTGTTGTATTTTTTTAACTAGATTGTATAATTGTACAATTTTGATTGTGATTAAGAAAAATACTATGAAGTAAACGCAACTCAAATCAAATTTATCAGAGCATGAATTAATCGATATAATTATGGTTTTCGTTTACTTTCCTGAAGAAACAAACACCAAGCTGCAAAACTAAATGTTGGAATTATTTTTAACTCCGATACTTAAGTTCTTTATGAATATAATCTATTTTCTTTTATTGCATACTAAAGTTTAGCAATATGCTTATTCATATCTTACTACACTGTACCTATTAAAAGTTGTAGTTTATTGTTTATCCTCAATTCTTCGTTTGCAAAATCAATTAAGTAATGAGTTTCTGTTTTGTATAATAAATATTACTTTAAAATACTGAAGATGATATGTAGCTTAATTGTTTAAACTCGTCAAAACAAGTTCAAACAAGTGTTATTCAAAATTATAACATTTTGATTTCATTATGAAATACTAATAAAGTTCACTTCATGCAATAGATATGTTTTCACAGTATTCAGAAGGGTATCATATATTTTCTTTTAACTACTTTTAAATATCGGACTGTTCAATCAGTAATTGTTATAATAATAAGTGATTCGGATTTTTAAGAAATTATTTTTATCTATCATTTAGTTGAGTACAATCTTTAAAGATTAAGTATATTTTGTACTAAAAGATAAGAAATATCTCGAGGTTTAAAGACATTTATCCATGCGTGATCACTACCCATTCCGACCTGTTGCAGTGTAACAAAATTAGCGGTTGACAGATCAAGACATGAGATTAATCAATGAAACCACTGATTATTGACCTGATTAATGTTGTTGGGTACAGACGTCCTGGTTGGGATCCAAGCTGTACTTGTAACCAATGTTTGTAGGCATTGGATGGCATGGCATAAATTCTGTCACAATGAAACAGTTGCACTAATTTTTCCATCCTTCTCTAAATTTCAGGATTAATGGCATTCCTAACTCTTTCAGTTGATGTTTCTTTTTGAATTATATTTCTCATATTTACATTTCTACTGTTTACGATACTACTCTACATCCTATGCTTTCTCACCTAGTTGAATCTCTGTTGTTGTGGTTGTTGCTAACATTAAGGTGTAGCAAGTTGAGCCTTTGTGTACTCAGGCCAAGTCTCTGTTTTGCTAGTAACTGGCTGAATAGCAAATAAACAGGTGGGTTATCAAGGATATAATACAACAGTAATGCGTTGCAACAGTCTGCTGTTAAACTGCTCAATCACATTTTTATTGCAAACTCAACATTTAAGCTATTTTCATATTTTAAAATAAATTTAAGTAAATTCTAGTTTTTGTTTGTAAAAAACTTAACTTTTCATTAAAAAGATAACTACTAACTAACAGAAACTTCCATTCGGCTCCTCGAAAAAGTAGTAATCAATCTTCGTGGAAAGACTGAAACATTGAATTAGAGCATCTATAAATTAAGTATCAGCTCTTTTAATTCAATAACTGTCATTGTTAAATATATGTACTTTACTAACAGATACAAGTTATTTTCAGTATACACAAATATTTTTAATTTTGATTTTATGTAAATAGATAAGAAGATCAAATTATTTTACAGCCCCAAGTTGTATATTTCATGGCTCAAAAGTTTGTACTTGTACTCAATTAGTTGCTGATCTCAACAAAACTCCGACGTGAACATTTGGATCTCGTGAATCAATTATAAGTCTATGACTCGTCTGATTAACGAGTGACCGGATTGGAATAGCTAATAAGTGCTTATCACTGGTTATAAGAATTCGCAACCCTGTAACTATATACAGGTTCATTTATTCGGTTTAGAGCCACGCCACCTTATGAAGATTAGTGTTACTGCAATTGTTTAAGTCATATTAGGTTTAGGGATATTTGACTCCACTACCTGATATTTGAAGCGCGAGTACTGTGGCTTATAAGCTAACATTCATCATGGTTAAGCTTTTCATTCAGCGTACGAAATTACTCACTAGTTATTAAGTGAACGGTTATCTAGTATGTTCTTAATTATTCTCATATTCACTTAAAGTTGGTATTCAATGATAATATAGAAAATATCATAACCCAATAATACTTAAACAGCTGTTTCGAGTCTTGTAAGTTGAGCAAACAAAACTGTGTTCCTAATATACAAAAAGAGATCATTAATTCACTTTGAATCATGCTTTTATTATGAGAAAACAATGTGACATGATTAGCTTCTTGTAAATAAAATTAACATTGTGTTTTATTTAGCTGTTCCAATGACGTGGTCGAGTCCACACTCATGTCTATAGATTCGTGCTTTTTAGTTTCCTATATTTAACGGATAATGTTTTACTTTATTGTTTGTATAATTATGTATTCGACTTTCGTTTTACTCAATTACTTTTCATTTGCATAATAAGCACCATATTTTGTCATTTCAATTTTAGGTTCAGCATTTTCAAAAACTACCCTCACGGAGCTTGATGTTGTCCATTTTTGAACTGTCTCCGGACCCGGTTATTTTTCATCAGTTGTATGCTTCGCTACTCCCCGAAGTTTTATCTATTCCAGGTACGTTTGCTGAAGTGAATTTGCCATATTGTCATGGTTTAACTTACGATCAGGGAGGCAAATCAACAGCTGAAGTTGTTTAAATATGTCCATTACAGCTTTGAATGTATATTTTATGTATATCTTCATCAACGTTTTCAGTCTTCAACATTGGCTTCAGTAAAAGTGAGAGTCTGTTGTAGAATCTTGGGGATGGTCGAAGTAAAGTATATATATATATATATATATATATATATATATATATCAGTCGATCTATTGCTGTGACAGATTTTGAATTCTTAAGTCAATTATTCTGTGTAAACATCTACTGATTGACATTTTATGAATTAATACAATAAATGGTATGTTCTCAAGTTACTTAAAGACTTGCTTGGTTAATCAGTCATTCATTTGAATGCCCTTACAAAATGTAATTAGTCGATGGTCTATTCTGTTATGTTTAGTATTTTCGATCTTACTTAGCATCCTGAAATCTCATATACAGCTTACATATTTTCTTCTAAAGCGCTGTATAATAAAGATTTGCACAAAAAATAAATGTTTAAGCATTTAAACGTAAACTAACAACTTCAGTTGCTCGAAGATTCACGATAAGAATTTGAAATCATATGAACATTCCATATCCGTTTATCAATAGGTATGTATGATAAATCAGTTACCTGATAAATAAATAAATAAAACCCTAGTCTTTAAGAGTCAGACACTGAATTCATATATCACTCATTGAGATTTAGGTGTATATCCATCTGCCCAACTCTCAAGAAATTGAAGTATACATTGTGAGTTCCATCATTAGTTGCTACAAAGTATTTCATTCGTTGTAAGTGATTAGTTAATTAGTTCTTTTATTGATCTTTACCATTGTTTGCTAAGCAAATCGACTACAACTAGTGTATTTTAATTCTACTGTTTAGTAGTATTTCTTTTATATTTGTTGTAAGTACATTTACTTTTTTTAAACTGCATACTAAGCGCATCTAATTTCTCAAGTTTGGTCTTGTTTTCATGTGGTCTTTTCGTTTTGTTTTTCACCTTAAACATCTCAACCGTATGCTTGTCCATCCAATGTGTTTTTGTTTTTAACGAGTATTTCACTTCTGCAATCAGTTTGGTTATGACTATCTAGTTCACTGTCTAGTCAATCAATAAAATCAATGGTTGTTAATATTGACTTGTGCTTGCTTTATACTTGCTTTGCAGATCACCGTCAAGGTGAATATATATTGAACTTCTTAAAGAACTCTACTCCTTCCCACTGTTATACACTTCTTTGGTAAGTTACAATGATGGAAATGTTATTTTCAATCTGGTAAAAAATAAACCAACAATGCTCATAGGATTTAAGACAGAGCAAAACAGACCTTAAATGTTTTCTGTTAGAAGCAGTACTACCGATCAAATAAGCGTTTATCTTCCACCCTTCAGAGTATCTTTTCAAAAACGTTTCATAGTTATGTCATTTTTTGCCCATTATTCAACATTTGATCCAAAGTGCTGTAAGGTTTTAAACCCCACAAATATAAAATATTTAGTTCAGTTAAAAGATTTTTGTGGAGAGTAGCTTGATTTGAAGATCTATTGTTAATGACATTTAATATCCTCTACTCTTCCGTACAAATAGATTGAATGTTTAAGTGTTGAGCATGTGATTCCTGCTCAGTAGCCTGATGTTTTCTCTTTTTCACGGTGAGAACAGAAGTTCTTAGGTATAGTTCCTGGAAGGCTGTGGGTCCACTGCACTGGGGAGCCCCATACCTAGGATGGGACTTTGTTCAAATGTTCGCTGGTTCCAAACGGTTCCGCGATTCTTACAGTAAACCATTTTTAAAATAAAATATCAAGTTGTCAGCAAGTCGACCTGTGGATTATGTATTTTAGATCAATGTTACAGCGATGTTTCTTATTTTCGGTTTTTTAACTAACTAAGAATCCCAATCAACTACATTATTCGCCCATATGCTTTTACAAAATAAAACATATAGCCAAGTTAAATACCATGAAACTGTAAGAGAGATACAAGAGTTGTTGGTATATTTTTCTCTTTGTTTGTCCTGTGGTAGGACTGAATGCAAGTAAATTAGATTTCATTCACCTACATCAAAGTCTGTCTGTTTTATAATCCATTTTCCTGAAGTTAGATATCCATTAATCATTGTTATAAACACACAAATTGCCGATATTCACTTATATTTTACACCAAAGGCCTACTTTAATTTGCGAACATACTTTGATTTTGTCAATCAGGATGCCGTGCATGTCTTTGACTGATATAAGTGATGAGCAAAGATATCACCTTACTGTGTAAACCCTACTGGAATGTCTATGGGGATTTAATAGTTAATGAAGAGTAATCATTGGATACGAAAGTAATTAGTTCGATTAGGATATATAACTGAATAAATCAATAATGAAAAAACGAGTTTCAAAACACCAGGCTACAAGATTCATAATTGCTTTCCCAGTATGTTATGTCGTAGTGAGGTTAAGAAATATGGAAAGATAAGACCTGGCTTGTGATTGCCAAAAATTATTACTTCTGACACAACCATTGCGCTCATTTTTTATTAACCTAAAGTTCCAATTCAACAATAATTAATTGATTGACGTTGAATAATCCAGGAGTCAATCCAACAGGTTTAAGCCGTATAGTTAATAATATTAAAGTTTCAACAGGGAAAACAAATCAATGAGCTTTTATCTCCTCAGGAATTTGTACTAAGTTGTGGAGGATGCCAAAACTCCTAGACGACATTTTTTTCCAGTTTTTAATTTATATAGTTGAATTTATTCGCACCAAAGTTCTTTACTGGATGGATGCTTCCTTTCCATCTCTATTAAGGACAACTTTGTTTACAAATAATTTGTTGGCCATTTAGTATACTGCTTTTGTTTTACCTTATTTAGCTGATCACTGGAAACATGTGTATACGTTAGTGTTACTTGCTTGTAAAAATGTTCTTTTGTGTATATCAGTAAACTTTTCCACAAACATTTGTCTCCTGAATTAATTGGACCTAAGAAGATGAAAAGAGAATTGTTTATTCAGTTTATCCGAAATGAGCTGTAATATAGGCACAATAAACTTTTGATACTCAATGACGATTGTCGTACAAACTTGATATCTAATATTTTCGACTAAATACAATATAACACAATTACGTAGTCAATGATCGATACGCGTAATTGTAGGTTTCATGGGTCTGAAAGTTGTAAGAGTTTATTAAAGACCTTAGTTAACATGTCTCAAATTTAGTCTCATAGTCTCTAATATATAGATAAATTTTATTTTCTTAATCATAAAGATTTGATTATTTTATAAATGTCTGTTTTCTTCTGGTTAATTTCAAATAATAATACCTTACTCTTCTTAATAAATAATTATTCCTTTATTAAGGAAAAATTTAAGTTCTATGGTTGATTGGAATTTTCCATTACTCAATCTTTATCTTGAATGTATTTAAGTTACTAATTTCTTATTGAAATGAAAAATGAACTAAATAACTATATTATATATAGGGGAATTATAAACTATTACTTAGTTGATATGTAATTCATGTTTTAGAGATTTTCCACTAGTTTCTTTTATCTTTGATGTAATGGTAAAGAAAATCCTTTTTTTAGAATAATGATTACAGTTTTCAATAATATACAAATTTAGATTGTTAAATAACCTTTTACGGTTACTTTCTTTATCAATTTTTTATATCTTAACAAAGTAAACTCTGTACCTTGGATTCTAATTGGCCAGTCGATTCATATTCTGTCTTGGAATTTCTTTTTGATCCAGTAAGTATTGGTCGTTGATCCATGTTTTGCATGTTTGGAGTGACTATTTCTTTACAATAATCACTAAATGTTTTTATTCAGTTTGCAAAGTTGTTTATTACTGTTGGTTAGTATATAAGTCTAACGCTTTTCTCTTTTAATGTAATTAAAAGACAGTTAACCACGTTGATCTTTAAGGAAATGTTATTTGCTAGAGTTCGTTTAACTTTCTATATTACTTTAAACCCCTGAATAAGTAGTGTTTAAAACAGATTTTGTTGAGAACAATTAATATCTTGAAGTTGGTAACAGTCGATATATACTTATTCACGCTAGAAATTCAGGTGAAAACGATAATGTGAGAGCTTATACGAAAGAGAGAGCTGGTGTTCATGCTATCAGAAGTAAACGTCACGTTAATTTGCTTATTACATAATTACTAGTTACACTGAGGTCTCTTAGAGTTGTCTTTTAGAATAATTACGAAACATTCACTGGAAGTAGTATTAACAAGTTCTAATCTTCATCTATATTAAGCGTTTCTAGATCGTTTTTCTTTCTACTACTTAGTTTCGTCTTTACTTATTCGCAGAGATACTTTTGCAGTTTTTCCAGTTGTGCTTAACTACTCACACTACGTCCTATCATTATCGACGTTCAGTTAAGGGCAAATAACTTTTGGGATAAAATTCTTTGCTTATCGGTCATGAGTTATTTACTGCAAACCTTTTTAAATTCACATGGATTTTCTATGCAGATAAATATCTTGTTAATTTGATCATATTCATTTACTGCTACATGTTTTTAAATTATAAATTTATTTTTATGCAATGTATTATGCACGCATCAATCATTCGGCCAGTTCGTTATGAAAGACTGTTATTTTCATATTAACCAAGTGAACGTTACTTAACAATATTATAACTTGTGGCCTTGTGCCCCTATCAATATATATACAATGCAATGACGTCGCCAATTAGATGACAGTGGTTTATCGATCGGACCAATTACGCCTAAGCCCGTAAGAGCAGTCTAGTGTTCTTGTCGGTCCTTATTCCTGCCTAGCCCTGCTCGATGAGTTCAAAACACCAATCTCAGCCTCTGCGATGTGAATCATGTATTCCAAAAATACTGAGTTTATATACAAACCAAACAGACTACATCGCACCACAAAATAGAAAACAACATTTGTACAAGATCTAGCTAAAAGTGACTGTGAATGTGGGAGACTGTAACTAATAGATTGGGCATAAATCGAGAACGGTAAATCGTATAATGATATTCTATGGGTCAAAATAAAGCTTATAATAAGAGGAACATGAATATACATAGTTTGGCTACTTAACAATTACACAATGAAAATATATGTATCGTATTGGTTCATAAAGAGTTCTCAAAAGTTACCATTCATAATTCTCGGGATATAACAAGTAACATACGCATGCCTGTTACCCCTCGTGGGAGAATAGAATGCCTACCAAGATTCGACAACCAACTCTGTCTTTGGCCCCTCCCTTTCCAGTTGCTTCCAACTACTATTCATTCTTCTCATGTCTGCCTCCGATTCTCGACTCAGTGTGTTCTTTAGTCTTCCTCTTTTCTGTTTACCTTCAGAACTTCAAGTTAAGGCTTGCCTCGTGATGCAGTTCGATGATTTCCACAAAATGTGTTCTATCCATCTCGAGTATATTTCTCTAATTTCCTGTTCAGCTGGAAGTTGATTTGTTCTATGTCACAGTAGGTTGTTGTTGATGGTGTCTGACCAACGGATCTGAAGTATCTTGTTTAGACAATTGTTTATAAATAACTGTACTTTTTATGATAGTTATATTTGTTCTGCACGTTTCTGCCCTGTACAATAGAAATGTCTTGATGTTTGCATTGAAGATTGTGAGTTGGATGATGGCTGATAGTTTTTCTGAGTTCAATGTGTTCTTCAACTGTAGGAATGGTGTCCATGCTTTGACAATCTATGCCTTCACATTTGCATCAGATCCTCCTTTTTTATCAATGACACTGTCCAGCTACGTAAGATGTTCCACGTCTTCTAGAATTTCTCCATCAAGTATGATTGTATTAGTGTTCTCTGTGTTGTATTTGAGGATCTTGCTCTTTTCGTTGTGTTTTTATGAAGACTTACTGTTGTAGAGGCTGTTGCTACACTGGCTGTTTTCACGCAAATTTGTTTATGTGTATGGAGTAAAAGAGCTTGGTCATCTGTAAAGTCCAAATCGTCTAACTGTATTCGAGCTGTTCACTGTGGTCCGTGCTTGCTCTTCTTCACTTGCTTGTTTGCTTCTGTGTGAGGGGCATTTTCTTCTTCTTGATCAAAGTACAGCAGTATCTTTTCTGAATTTAACCTTTACTGTCCAGCTTGGGTCCAATGCGTTTCACTTATTCCGAGCACCATCAAATTGTATCTCCTCATTTCTGTAGCTATTTGACTCGTCCTCCTGGTCTCCCACATTGTCTGAGCATTCCATGTACCCATATTAATTGTTGCATTGGTTATTAAAAGGGATGTCCGCGTCATGACTCCCGAAGATTCTCGGGTTTCACCATGAGGCGTCATAATTCCTCTAAAAGAAGATCCTCGAACTGTCAGGACAGAGTTTAATTGGTTTAAATTGTTATTCTAGTTAGCGTTTTTTAGCAAGATTGTTTTCTACCGGATGGGGTTTCTAACCTCATTCACATTCCTTTTCTTTTACCCGGGCTTGGGAGTTAAGTGAACGTTCATTGAAAGTAAATTAGGTCCCACTGCAATTTCATCTATGAATTCTATTTTTTGGATAGAGTTTAACATTCAGAGTATATCCGTTCAGATTGTTTTGTGTTATGTGAATTTCGAATCTTTCGACATTTAACTATTCATCCCAGAAATGTAAAATAAAACACCTGTCTAATGTGTCATAGTTTCATATCGCGTTGTGATAAAAACTATCTTAAAAAGTTCAATGCTCTTTCAAAAAAGCAACACATCAAAGTGCGAACAAAATCTACAAATTGATTCAAGGTTTTAAAAGTCAATTCCAAGATTGGATACCTTAATTTTACGCTTCCGACTTCTAGAATATTTTGTTACTGCTTGAAATTCTTTCATAACGTACATTGATGTTTTCTGTACTAGAAACTACATAGAACACTTGAATCTCTCTCTCTCTTTATATATATATATATATATATATATATGCTCATGACAATTTTTCTGTTTTGTCTAATGTCTTATCTTATTAATGGAATAGGTTAACTACGTTCTTGGACAGCAATTAATGATTTGGATCTATGGCAATATGTCTACCGACCTGAATCCCATAGATCTCTATTTATTCTCTTGATCTGGACTTTTGAAACTTCCATCATAATTCGTTTCTATAACTGTCTTTGTGCATTGATATAAATGACATTATGGTATCCACAGGTCGATGTTTTGAATCTACTCACTTTCTTTATTCAATAATTGTGAAACTATTATCTTAGATTTTTTAAAAATTTATCCAAGGACAGTATCTTTGGAATGTGCTGTAGAAGTAGTTAGTTCACTACCATTCTGTTATGCTATTTCTTCATGGTTGTGTAGACGCTATCAGCTCTATACCTTGCAACTAAGTAGATGTTAGTGTGTACATATAAATTATTATTCCGTCTTTTGAAAATACATGGCATCAATTTATGAATCGTTGTTTTGCCAAGTAGAAAGATTTTTTTGTCCAACGCAAAAAATTAGATCTTATTTTTTATTATTGACCACCGTCACTGATTTTTACTAAAATGATAGTAAACATATCATGAGATAAAATATTCACCATTGAGCGATTGTGGATACACATTTAACTTATCCTATAAACATAAATATTACTTTAATTGAAACAAACAAATTTCGGGTTTGTAAATGTTTATCACAATTGTATTTCAATAAGTTTGTGAGTTGAGTAAAATTTTATCGTTTTGGTCATATTAGATATTTTTACTGAACCATAATGTGTTGTTATATAATCTACACTGATCAATTGTTCTTGATTTATCTTCATTCAGTTATAAGGTAACCGTTTCATTAAATTACCTTTTTACAATAGAAATAAAGTAGTTTTTGTTCTTATTACATACAATTGATACTTTTTAATGCAAGATATCAGTTTTATTTCTCTCTCTTCCTATCTCGTTGTTTTTTTCTTAATCTCTATTCTCAGTGTTTAGTCTATGTATCTTCAACTCCAGAATTGTCTCCTAGTCAATTGTTTGTAGCTGTTGTGAATAAATTTTACCATGATGCTCAAAAAGATTCAAATCTTCGGAAATCAATAAAATTCACAAATATGATTGTTAAATTCTTACGAAATTATGCAAGTTATTATGTATGTCATATGAATTCTCTTTAGATTTTCATTTAAAACTAAAAGCTGTTTTTTTACTGTAAATCATCAACTGTTTTCTGATTATTTTTGTCATTCGAGATTTGATTTATTACAGGTTGATGTATCAGTTGTTAACAGTAAAAAAAACACTCAAATTTAATGGTTTCTTAGTGCGATATGAACAATCGACTTCCCCTTATGTTGAATTGTTGGTTAAATTTTTAACCTTTCATCGATGGATCCAATTCCAGTAAATAACATTTCTTTGCTAGTTGTTAGTTTAATGAAAATCCTAGTATTGGACTCCTCAGTAGTGCGTATCCACGATCTTGCACACAGGAATCAAACCTAGGACCTTTGGTCCTGTGCGTGAATGCCTAACCTCTGAACCGAAGCCAAACGGTGTTAAGGTCTAACTCCAACCAATTCAGGGTTTCAGTAGTGGTCTAACATTGATCGTTTCATGATTTTAAAGAGATATTGATTAGTTAAGATACTCTTTGTTTCTCAATGATGGATTGTACAAAGTTGATCTACTGCATTATTGTTATCATCTAGCTATTATTGTTGCATTTTATTCTACTCTATAATGTAAATATCGTAAATGTTGCGCAACTGAATAACAAATAAAATTGTCATATATTGCACAAACATAAAGTCACCAATAATTCTAATACATTTTTCTTTCCTCTTATCAGTGTTTCATTCTCCTCAACTTATATCTTATTATATTTTTTACCTATCACTATTTATTTCCCTGAAATGTTTTTTTGTTACTATGTAATGTCATCTATCTTGAATTAATTAACATGTTTTAGTTTATATATCCAAATTATTTAATAAATAAGTACCTTATATACATATTTGCAATTCTGTGACTCAATATCAAATCTTTTTAAAATAATTCATTTAAACATAACCAATATATCGCATGTTCAAATTTTCCCACATGAAATATGATTACTTGGGTTATTACTAATAAAAGTTTGAAGTAAATTTAATTTGATTTCATAATATTGTCTACTTGCTTCTAACCATTTTTTTTAAAAAAAATTTTATCATTTCAATTTTTTACAGTCATCATTACAATATCCAGAGGAATCTCAAATTATTTTGAAACAATTGGCAAATGAGAATTCCACTTTTCTCCGAAATACATTAAACAATTTTGTTTGTTAGAAAAAACTAATGTTTTTGTGCGAATAATTTCTGTACTATTCATTAGAAAAATGTATCTGGTGAAAATGCTCATTGCCTTTTTGTTTTCTCTCTCCCCAATAATAATAACGATTCACATTATTGAATTCGATTCTGTTTATTTTAGCTTTTGAATATTCCTACTTGGAACAATGAATATTGGTGATAAATTTATTACTAAATTGTTAGATATGAAATTACAAAAAGAAAATGTATACAGGCAAGATTAATATTATTTTTAAATTACATTCAATATAGTTTAATTTTAATATGATGCTGATTGTATTCATATAGCTTGACACACAAAAATCTGGTTACATATAGGTAGAAATACAATAACTACTTATTAACAATGTATTCTACAACGATTGATTAATACACTTCTTGAAAACTGTGAACAGTTAGTGATTTATTATGAAGGAAAGAAACAACAACATTGTTTTGCACATGTCTTAACATATAATTGTTGAATGTGCTCAAGGAAGTTAAAATTCGTGAATTTGTTTGCTTATTTTTTTAAATAGTCTTCACAAGTAGTATGTGTGTAGTTTTAAGCAGTAACACTTTCTGTATAAAGGAATTTGTTTTGATAACAACTTTTGGTTAGCATGTTCTGCTTTCTATCTCCAAAACTTGGTGTAGTGAAAATACCCAGTCTATGAATCACCAGGTGGTCGTTGAAATACATGCATACGATGAGTGGTTTGTTTCGAAAAGGAATATAATTTAATCTCATACATTGGATAATGAATTTGTTTTAAATACCGAAGTTTGCGCTTGTAGACGTTAAAATGTGTCACATAAAAGGATTATACTATTTTCAAGTTATCAGTTTTGTCTATTATATTCTATTGACAGCTGTAAGGGTTCACCATTTAAATGTGACTTTGTGAATTTCTGCAAAATTAGTAACTCCTAGTATTATTGTTTTTAGTCATATACATCATTTTATTCAGTCGAAAGGTTATTATAGAAGCTTATTTTCCATCAGGCATTCGACATTTCATTACTGTAATGACAGAAAACTTGAAAATTTTGTGACTATAATGTAATAGTGCCTGTCACTGAAATATATACTTTTTACTGTAAACTCAGTTAGAATATAATCTCTTATGTGTTTTTTTTCAGAGGTGAACGCGTGTTCTTGCCTAATCCACGAACTATTTATGGTGGTGAGCTCATGGCTCAAGCTTTAATGGCTGCGAGTAAAACCGTTCCTAAAGATTTCAGACCGAATAGCCTGCACTGTTATTTTCATGACCGATGTAAGTTAATTAGTAATGCGTTTTGTAAAAATGTATCATGGGGCGATTTTAAACCAACAGAAAAACTCTATTCGATAATGATGTAAAGGATTATTTTCGATATAATTCCTTAGACTTCGTATATCAATCTTCCTGATAACCTTTATTAAATAAATCACAAAGGTGTATGAATTTCAGAAAGGAACACAAATGACCGACTACAACTTATTATTAAAAAGCAGAGATCGCTAAGCCACAAGCTCATCAAGTTAATTCGAGCAGTATTGCAAGCACGAGCGATTACAGAGACGAATCAAGAGTCGAATGAATGAATAAGATTCAAGTATATATATATATATATATATATATATATATATATATATATATATATATATATTACATGTGATGCATGATAATATACAACTTGTTAGTATTTGAATAACACTGTCTGTCAAACAAGTTAATTGAAACGCTCAACAAAATTAAACGTAAACAAACTTCAGCGTGGGAAACGTGCTAGGATGTAACAGTTTTTTAATCATCTATTATTTCAAATTATTATAAGTGGGGACCACTTTTATTGATTTTGTGTATCCATTTTTTCACTTTTCATACAAACGGGAAAGCATTCGACAATAGGTTTTTGCTACTTCAAACATCTTCACACTTCAGTATATTGTTGATACCATTTGCATCAGTTATAATTTTGACTTCGCTTTATGTTTAAGGAAGCTCAGCGTTCTAAGTGGTTGAAATGATAAAAAAACTGATATTTTCGAATGTCTTCGGATATAATTTTGTGCCCTTACTGTGGTTGATTAACATCCACTGACAGTGGTTTTCAGAAAAGATAACCTCTTGTTGCGTACTATATAAATGCAGTAGATTTTAATTGTTTCAATCCTTGACCATTTTTATATACTTTATCGTAATTACACAAACCTCTGACTATCTGTGCTTTACTGTTCAATGTAGCGTATGTGTATCTGATGCTCAGTCACCATGTTTGTTATTAACGTAGAAAAATGGCTGTTTTTACCATTATGATGCAACATGCATTTCATTTGATGTATGTGTTTTACTGTCTTGACAGCTCACTGTTTCATTACCTATTAGGCTTTGACTAGAAATCGTAATCACAGTTTTTAAGCTGTACTTGTATGAAATCCGGTGAAATAATTTAACTTTTTAATCATTGACTTATTTAGTTTTTTGTATTGAAAAATCTTTGTTTAATATGAAATTCCCGTTTTACTTTTCATCAGTTCTATTTAACACAAGAGTACTTTAAAATCTACGGTAATGGTATAATATTTTTAATTGTAAGAAAATTCGGTCAGCCTGAAACTAAGTTTTTCATTACAAAGCATCTATAATTAATAAGAAATTAGCATAAATTTTTCAATATCTTTTTGATTTAAACAAAATTCACGGTGGGTTTTCTCTTACTTTAAGCATATCAAAGGAAACAGTGGTGGTGGGGATATGTGCAACATAAAATGACGGTTAATAATTTGTTTGTGGAGTTCTTCAACTTCCTAACATTAAATCCTATGATTTGATTCGACTTTCTATTCTCTGCATTCCGAATCGCGATAAATTCAGTAAACTACTAATTGTAATGATGTGGCAAGTAGATTTAAAGATGTAGTCTTATTTTTTGTAAGAAGAAAAGTGTTGGGGAGATCAAATGTATTCCTTGAAATAGTCCAGAGGGTCCCTGAAGACACTGTGAAACATTTTATCCCATCAGCGTTGAGTAGAAGTTTCTCAGAAAAATCTAGAAAGTAAGGTCACGAGTCACATTTCTGACTGGATGGTTACATATCCTTCTACTATGTTTCGTATAGTTCCAGATTCTTCCAGAAGCCAAAGGCATTCTGAAATACTATAAATACCCTAGATTTTCTGTTTATGGATTAACCTTAGAAGAAAGCATCCTCTCCACATTTTGCGCTCTTTCTCCGTGTTCACATTGTCGTGTAGATTTAGCCTGAGACTATTAGAAGAGCTTAGGAAACCGATTCAAGCGTCCAATTAAAAGACTTATCAGTTAACTGTCACATATCCGCCCAAAAATCCAAACTTATGTTTCTTTTCACTTGTTTTTATCACTGCAGAAACATTAGAGTAATGAATTTAGTACTTCGTCACGGAAAAAATGTTGAAGTTATTGACTGAAAAATGTCAGCGAGTTGATCAATTTGCGAAACGGTTGCTAAGATTTGAGTTACATAGTGATTATTCTTTTGCGTTTTCCGTCCAGCGTCTTTGGTTGTATAAATTATTAAATAATTGATGTTTCTCTCAACTATGTAATGTAGGTCTGTGACTTTGAGTTGTGGATGACAAATTATACGAAATTGATGGTTGGATATTTTCAGTATCATCTCTCAAAAATAACCAGGATATAATTGGATATTTCCTCTGTCTTTGGCTTTTGATTTTAAATATATTAATCTATAGCCATCTTTTTTTTCTATAGTTTCATTTTCCTGTTGATTTGCTTTGATATTCTTTTTACTTTTAGAACATGCTTTTGTTATTCCATATCAGGGACTGGATCCTGTTTTTCTTTCATTTTTCTGATTTGCTGATGCTCTAATTTGTTTTTTTTTTCAGCAAATGTACTTGAACCGAATGATTACTATGTTACAAAACTTCGTGATGGACGTTCATTTTGTCATAGATTAGTTGAAGCTTTTCCAATAAATAAAAGTGAATCGGATTCAATTACTCCGTATTTTCGCATGGATTGTTCATTTAAAACACCTGAGAAGGATGCTGCATCCTTTTTGTCTCCCATGCCTAATGTTCCGTATGTTGAAAAACTCCAAGATTTTAATTCATATGTGAAATCACTGGATTTGTAAGTTCAATGTCTGAAACTTTTGGTTACGATTTTACTTTTTCACTCGTCTTTTACTCCTTGTGGGAGGATAGAATGCCTACCAAGATTCGACAACCAACTCTGTCTTTGGCCCCTCCCTTTCCAGTTGCTTCCAACTACTATTCATTCTTCTCATGTCTTCCTCTTTTCTGTTTACCTTCAGGACTTCAAGTTAAGGCTTGCCTCGTGATGCAGTTCGATGATTTCCACAAAATGTGTTCTATCTATCTCGAGTATATTTCCCTAATTCCTTGTTCAGCTGGAAGTTGATTTGTTCTGTCACAGTAGGTTGTTGTTGATGGTGTCTGACCAACGGATCTGAAGTATCTTGTTTAGACAATTGTTTATAAATAACTGTACTTTTTATGATGGTTATATTTGTTCTGCACGTTTCTGCCCTGTACAATAGAAGTGTCTTGATGTTTGCATTGAAGATTGTGAGTTGGATGATGGCTGATAGTTTTTCTGAGTTCCATGTGTTCTTCAACTGTAGGAATGATGCTCTTGTTATTAACGCTAATAAGTTTATAGTTATGATTATGTATGTGTCTTATTTCTCTATCTCTCTGTAAGTGAGGTCGGAAATTGGAGAAATGTTCCTTCTATTCATTTAATACTAATGATTGATTTTCACTCATGGACTTCTGAAATACTGACTCCTAACTAAGAATGACTGGACATTGACATATTCAGGCCTGTCATGATTTTTATTGTACTAAAAATATTCTGCATTGTTTTAGAATTGTGTTAATTTATTTTCTCTGAATAAGTGGCTTACGTTAAGTCACGAAATGTCAGAAATGCAATTTCGCTACTTATTGGGATATAACAAAAAATTTATTGATTATCATGTTTGATTAATGTTTTTGACAGTATTTAAGAGTTCGTACTCTCATATGCGCACTGTATGTCCATAGCTCCAATATAGTTGACTTGTCGGTATCGTGGCGTTCGTTTTTTCTAAATTGTACATTCACACATTGTAATATATAACCGCAGCAATTAAAGTGTTCATATTTGATTTAATATTAAAGTTCAACCTTTAAACTCCAAACGATATAATTTTTTACATAAAACTTAGTCAATTTCCTCCTGAACGAGTTAAAATGATGAGCACACCTGAAAATAACTTATCTAACTGGGTTATACCAAAAAATACATTTACATCTTCACTCTTGGCTTACTAAAACCATACATTTACCACAAAGTTTCGTAGTACCAGACCATTAAACACATAACAGATATCATTTATATCTAAAACATAGTCTAATGGTTCTGCTTCAACCAGTCATTAGTTAAATTTAACATAGGAACTGACATGATATGTATCAACTTGACTTGTCACAATTTATGTTAGCAAAGCTAGAAAGAAGATTAATAAGACAAGAAATAGTTGAAGAGAAATAACATAAATTGATATGGAAAGTTAAACATTGGATTATATTTTAGAGGAAACTGTTCTATTAGAATGACTATTTTAGTTTTATTATTATAAACTGAATAATTTTGTACGTTTCTATTTACAAAAAGCTTTATTCTATACTTATTTCACTTGTTGAAACTTTTCTGTTGTTGCCTTCATACTAACTGAATTTATCAACATCGTCGTTCTATCGTCAGCCTGTTGCTAAACAAAAAAGATTCCTTTTTGGTGCGCTTCATATTAAGCATTATGAAATTTTATACTTCATTAGAAAATAATAATTTGCACCGAGTGTCATGAATACGGTTTTCTAACTATTTGATTCAATTACTTCATTTTTTGTTAGTGACAACTTGCCAAATGTACCACGAACTCGGGTACTACATTATCAAAGTTTCGATGCTAATTCACCTATTGAAACAGTATTCTGTGAACCTGAATATGTTCTTGGTTTTAAGTCAAATGTTGGTGGACAACTACACTCTTGGATCCGTTTAAAGGAACCACCTTGTAAGTCGTTAACATTTATTAAGCTATTTTCTACTTTTATTTTCCGTATGTAATGCTCACCGTCTTCAAAGACTACAAATCTTCCTTGATTTACGACAATGAGGAGAATAACTCGCTGATTCAAGTGACTAATAGATTAAACATAACAGGTCGTGTGACCATTTAAAACCTTTCTGTTATATCATTACTTTTCTCAGTGCTCGAATTGTCTACCTCACAACTGAGCCGGTTGCAGTTTTAACAAAGTTTAATAATTCCTGGAAACGTCCTTATGCTCTTTTGTTTAAAATGTTCTTTTGTTAATCAAATACTGCTGCTGGTCAGCTGGATAAACAAGTACAGAACCAATAATACATAATGTTTCCCTATGTAGTACTAAGTACTTTGTCTATTTATATTATCACATAATGCTCGTGGCATTTCTAGGTCAATTGAGCGAAGTAAATTTCCAGATAATCGACACTTCATTTCACAGTGGAACCCATGCCCCTTTAAGCTACTCTATTACCATTCTTTCTTAACCTACTATTCTTACAGAAAAAGAACAATGTATGGAATTATAATTATCTTTGTGAGTTTATTGAAATCACAAGATTTATGTTTGCTTCAATCGTCTTCAAGAACTATAGTAGTTTGACATCGGTCTACAGCAAGTGTCAGTAAGGTTATTCAGTTTGTCTTATTGTCCTACGTGAGGTAAATAGATTTTCATTTTTTCCTATCCTGTGATTTATTCAGGTCATTTTTCACTTGAAATACTATAGCTGATAATATGGAGATACCACTTAATCATACAAATAATAATTTGTTATGTTAGGCTGAACCAACTATCCATCTTAATGATTCAGGCGATTTTCTACTGTCTTTTTCATGTAATATCATTGCATTCTAGTTGGGTAGATGAAAAGTGTAAATAATCCTGTTGGTTGAAATTTGTTTGATAGCTAATCATTCAGAAATAATATTGTTTCACTCGTTTATTATTCTAAGAGCATTATAAATATTTTTGGTGTGCTGTATTACTAAGATAAAAAGTGAGTGCACTAGACCGCTAAATTTTCCTTCGGTTATTGATATTTTTCAGCGAACTTAACACGTTAATATCCTACCATGTTAGGAGTATGTGGTCAATACCATCACTATTTCTTAGAGCACTTACACTTACATTGTCTAGGAGAATTATCAAGTATATAATAGCTTACTGGGTCTATGTGAATGGTCCAGAAGTCTTGCTACTTTAAAAAAATCTATTTGTTTGTTTTCCGTTTTCTAGCCGCCTCTCTACATTCTTATCGTGATGCCTTCCTAGCGTATTTATCGGATGCTTTTTTGTTATGGGTCGCTCTTACTGAACCACATCATGTTTTATACTTGGTCACACTAAATCAAAGCATATGGTTTCACAATCCCGAAGTAGAGATTAAGCCGGACGAATGGATTTTGATTGGAACAAGAGCAAATTACGTAGGTTCGTCAGCTATTGCAGATTATCAGTTTTGGAACAGTGTTTAGGCGAAAATCATTACTTTTTTGTTTGCCAATAATCCTATTTTTAAAGTCATTTTCAGTAACGACATTAGAGTTCAAAAGACAATGTAGTAAAATACTGTAACTGAACTAGATTTTGATTAGACAGTTTTCCATGTTACAGAATCTCAACAGCACAGTAGTGTGAACTAGTTTTAAATTTGCTACGAAATCATTTGATTTTGAGCGATCACTACAATCATTCTAGATTTTGCTATTTTCATTAATGTTTAGTATCGTCTTATAAACATGAGGATATGGTTGATTCTGTTCATCTGCCAAGATTTTATATCATTTAATTAGAAAACAAATTGTGCATCTTGAATTGTTGAAGTCACGTGAACTACAGGCAATCATTTATTATAGTATGCAAAAAATTGTAGATACGGTGTAACAATCCATCTATATGAAGAAGTGGGTTAACAGAAAACCACTGCCTAATTGTGATTATTGATTCGATCTCATATAGGAGTGTTTATAAAAGCTTGCAACTCATGAATTATATTAATGTATAACCTTTCACAGTATTTTTTTCTGAAAATTCTGTGATTTACTTAACTTTATGTTAGGAAATCTTCTAGGTCTTTAGTCTGCTCAAGTTTGTAAAACATTTTGTTAACCTTTTTTGATGGACATTCAGGATTGCTATCTAACCATCTAAATTAAAACCCTGTTTTTTGGTGTGCAGGTGGCGCTTTGACACTTTCATATGGAGACATTTGGAATAGAGAAGGCTGTCTCCTGGCAAGCATGGCTCAACAAGGCTTGGTGCGGACCCAACAAATGACACCAGTCTCATCCTATACATCAATGAGTGAACTAGCAGAACAAGCCGAGAAATAATCTTACATCCATATAGGCACCTGACTTCAAATTTTATTATCTTTTTGTAAATCTTAATTCCTGTCATGGACATATATATCTATGCAACATTCCTCAGCACACAAAGAAGTCTCTTGATATTATGTTCTGGCTGTATCGTACTTTTTAACTATAGTTGTGATATCGGTGCTGTGATTCTCTGATTAATATGTGTGCAGTATTTCCCTCATAATTGTTATTCGCTATTAAATTACAACGAATTGAATGTCCTTTTAATATTTTCCTCATAAAAGCTCACAGGCCGTTCCACTTCAACAGTGAAGTGACTTTCGGCTAGATTATTGATTAAGACTATTCACACTAAGTGCTTTTTCTAACCTTCTGTTCAGTTTTTACTAAAGTGAATTGAGCAAGCAGTATCCTTCTTTGATAGGTGGATGAAAAGTGAAGTTACTAGCCTTAACTCCAAATTTATATAAGTTCTTCCAGATTAATGTTAGTCACGAAAATCATTGACACATCCTTATGCAAAAATTCAAACCAATATACATAAGGAAACATGGTGGTTAGCAGTGGGGTCTAGGACAAGCGTTTCGTCCTATTTGGGACTCACCGGCTGGATGTACATGCATCTCAGTGTTGTTGTTCACTCCGGGACTGGAACCTAGTACCGTTCGTTTCAAATGCCATCAAGTTATCCACTTAGCTACTGAGTTTGTGCAATGAGGTGAAGTTTAAATTCACTTGGTATTGTTTGCTTGAATCTTCCCATTGATCAGTGGCAGTCCTAAACATCAATGAGAAGATTCGAGCAAACAATAGCAAGTGAACAAATATACGTCACTCAGTTCAAAGCACGAGGTGAAATCCGGTTGGTATCCAGAAGCTAGGATCGATGAGACACTATCTTATCACATATTAGCAATAAATTGCAAACATCTAGTGAAATATTTTTTATGCATGCAAAACCTATTGACCGGATATAATTCTATAGTCTTGTTTTCTCAAAATGCTCCAGCAGACTCTATGTTTATTTGATATAGCTTTCGCGGTAATGGTGTGGTAACTAGGATGATTATTTGGATTCATACCAACTTGTAAACTTTTGTACAATAAGGCTATACATCTTCCGATGTTTTTTTACAAACTCAGTTCTCTATTACCGTAGCACCTAAATTATTGTTTGAATTCAAGTATTGATCGAAAATATATTGTTCTGACTTTTAAGTCGATCTTTTTACACCATGTTCGCGTTGTAATATACGGAAGGAATGCATATCCGTACTATCAGTCTTAATAAGATCTAATAAATGTAAACTGGCAATCTTGATTTTCCAGTTGTGTATTTGATACGAATGCGACCCCGATCTCGTTCGACCTGATCATCTAGATACACAACCAAACACTATCTATCCCTCTTCATAAACTTAGAGTAGCTCCATGAATCGAAATTAAGTCATTCCATTTCACGAAAACGTGAACACGTAACTCTGCCCCTAAATGGAGTTCACCAAATCGGCAGTTATTTCTTTTATACGAAACTTGGATCGTAATCCAAAATTCGATTCAAATCCCTACTTTTTTTACAAGTTTTGGTAGATTAACGCTCTTTCAATTTTCTTATTCTTCAATAGATTATGCAGCGAAACTTCTTCACATTTTCAACTCTGCTAAGTACTTAAAAAGAAGCAGAACATACCACTTTACTTGTTCATCAAAGATTTGATTGATATGAAGTCCTATGAAACAAACACCTAAGTAATCCTTTATAGTAATTTTTGCTTCTTTTACATTCAGTCTAAGTAGCCTAGTAACCAAGACTAGGTGTTCAATTACGAAATAAGAATTGCACCTTTTTTACACGATCCAAAAAGCGCAACTTGTGTTCATTGAGTCCCATAGTTCATATCCCCAACATTGATGATATCGGAACGAGGCGACCAAGTGACAACTTTGTGTATCATTTGACAGCTTCACTTAACCCCTAAAATGTGACTGGAACGTATTAACTCGTAGGTGCTTCGCTTATTGTGTGTGTTGAAACTACCGAATAAGGTGAAGAGTAGAATCTGAAAAAAATGAAGAACGGACCCGTTGGTGATGTGAATTCTCATAAATACGAGAAAAACATCAGCGATAGGGCGAATGGTCGCATAAGATACATAGCCGGGGTTATCTAGATTCTAAAAATCAGGAAATGGGAACAAATTGACGTGGCCCAAAACTAGCCACCATATAGTACATAAATGTCTGTAGTGTCGGTTGCTATTTTTAAGCCCACTGACTCATTCTAGCTTCCGAACAAGCCGATCTACTCACCTTTCTTGAGCCATATTTTGACCTTATTAATTATTCGCTTATCAAGCTTGACTGTTTTTATATATTTGTTTGAACACATAAATATTGGTACAAGAAGGCACCAAATAGATATGCGCCATATTAATCATTCGATTTGTGAGTGCTGGGATAATGACCGGATGCCCAGACCAAAGCAGGTGGTTTTCTTCGGGGACCACACTCCGAGACTTCGACCTAAAGATCTGATTCACAAGGCAATGGAACAACGGCACGGAATGCAGACCCATGGTAGCTGGTGACCAACGATTGATTCATACGCCATTTGTTGCTTCAAGATCCTGGAGCCCATAGGCACCACTGGTTTGGAATCAGGGTTTTCCAACCCCCCTATTGAACTCTCCGTATCCACCAGCCCGCCTAAAGCGCCTGACATTCGATTTTCATCCTCAGTTTCGTAAACAGCACCACTGGTGCGAGCAGGCAGTGAGTAGAACTTCCCTGGCTGTATACGCTTGGCCATGTGCAAGGAATTGGAAAGGGAGAGTTAACTCTACCCACCCTTGGCCGTACCAGGGCATTAATCTTTTTATAACTGAAATATAAGGCACTCATTTTATTCAAGTGGTCTTAGGTTCTACGTATATCGACTTAATCCACTTTAGTGAATAACAGAATTAAATAAGTCAAATACAAAAATACATTTCGAATACATATATTTCATACAATTGTCGATCCAGACAAATTGTCGGAGAAACGAAGCGGAGAGAAAAGAATGAAGTGAAATGACGTGCAGTGTAGAAGGCATGTGAACCAAATCAATTTAATCAAGCGTTAATGAACATTTATAGCCTAACAAAAATAAGTTACAGGCTTCTCATAAGTAGGTACCTCCTCCAGAGGATAAAAAGTGTACACACACATACGATCATATAAAAACAGTCAGGGTTGATAAGTGAGTGATCAACAAGTTAAAAACGTGACTCAAGAAGAATGGATTAATTGGCTTGTTCGTAAGCTATAGTTTCGTAAACAACGTCCCTGCCACGAGAAGGCAGTGAATAGGACTTTCCTGGCGGTGGTTGTATGCACGTGGTCATGTAAGAGCATTTCGACATGGAAAGCTGACCCCCCCACTCCCGGCCGTACCGGGGCATTTGGGGGGAGTGTATGTGCGCATTTCTTATCTTACTCGTCACATGTCTGTGTGGCCATAAATATCGAATAACGCTTGATTAAATCGAGTTAGCTCACACGCCTTCACCGGGCATCATTTCGCTTTGCTTTCTTCCCTTCGCTTCGTACCTCTGATTGTCCGTCCAGATCAATGACTGTAGGAAATATACGTATTCAAAAACCCACTCTCGTATTCAGCTTATTTGATTCCGTTATTCACCAACACGATTCAAGTCGATAAGTATATACGAGGATTGGCGATGTATATATTTCGACGGCAATCAATCGTACGATCCACTTGGGGTCAGATATCGGGCCACTAAATATCTCACTTTTCCTCTTAGGACTCATATCCCTCTGTAATACTAAACTATTCCGGTTTATTTTAAATTAATGTTAATAAGATTTTTTTGTGCAAGGTTTTGTACGCTTCAAAATAAATAAGCTTGTCGAGAAATATGAATATTTCAAAGCACAGTACATCTATTTACATAAAAGATCACAATATATTTATGTCGAAATATTTTTTTCCGCTTTTGCACACTACATCTGTAACTTCATGGGATATTTGTTGAGATTCTACAAATATTGCTTTTCGCAAATCCATCTTTATGAATAATTCATAGAAAAATGTTGTCTTACCAAAAAACTGTTTAGTGTTTCTGTTGAATACTTCTTACGAACATCCCCATTACACCACAAAAAACTCATATGGAATTTAGGATTCTGAAGAATGATAGGGAAATTGATTGTCTTACTTCATAATACTTTGGCCCTCTAAACGCAGTGACGCATGAATCAACAGAATTGAGTAGAGATATCAGTGCTATACGTGACTCTTCAGAAGTTACTAAAGTGAAAAAGGATCTACAGATTATAAGCAGTAGAAAATGAGTACCGTGTGTTTTCTTCATTTACAAGAACTTCTACGCCATCAAGCGCAATCCAGAACCTAAAATCGCTTAAATATTCACGAAGTATTCTTACTTTCCAAAAGAGCTTACAGCAGAACGAAGATTACAAACGAGATTTTCAATCCAATGAAAATAAATAGGCCATGTCTTCGACAAACTTATGTGAGGAGAATCCACAGTATAACAATCACCCATTACAGGATTTGATTGAACTACGGGGTCTTTGATCGCCTCAAGTATTCTAGAATGCAAATGAGAACCTTGGTACAATACAAGACGTTGTTGTGATTACATGCAATATACACGGAAGTGGCCCAACTCCCAGGTTCATGAGGAAAAGTTCTACTACGAAAATCATGCTTCGAAGGATCATCTTTACGAACAAAAAAACGAAAGGAATCAGAATTTAAATCTTGAAGTATTGTAGGCAGCTCCAGTTTTTCAGTTTTTTCTTCATCACTAGATGAATATTCAACCAATTGTGTGTTCATACTACACTGAAGTCGTAAAGAACATACGCAAGTTAGGTGTATTTAATTAAATGATGAATTGCACAGTCACATTCACTAAAACAAGATGGCAAACAAATGATAAATAATGGAGACAAAAATACAGGGAATAAAGGATATATAATGCCATCCACAAATACATGCAGATGTGCACGTTAATCGCTAAATTAACATCAATAGTTGATGCAGTAGGCCAATGAGAATTCTAATTTACTAATTTCTAGTGCAAACATCATTTACCCTACATTTTCACTTGAGCCAAAGTAGGTTGAGTTTATATGAATCAACAACTAAGTATAGTAAGATTGCAAAACCGCAGTTTCACACTTATGTTGTCACAATAAAACCACATAATTTGACTACCACTAGTGGAGTTCAGTGATATAGCTATTCTCTTCAAATTGTTGTGGAACGAATAGAAGATTTCGTTTAACGAGGTCCCGTATCTAGTAGCCGTCGATCATCGACACTTCCAAGTAGGAACCTAGGTATACTTACAAAACAAAAGAGAAGTATTAGTTATGAAAAAAATATTATCCTGAGTCCCTAAGAATACGTTAAGGTTCCTCTTGATGGACCCCCTAGAAGTCGCTTTGACCACCTCAGTCGGTATTAAAATCCAGGATTCGACTAATCACACAAATTAAAAGGTAGCCGTATAGTCCATTCTCCTATGTTGCATCTTTAACTTCTGAATGTTACACTTTAAGTTTGTGTTTTGACTGAGCTTAAGTAGGTTAGGGGATGCTCAGCAGTAATTAAGATGTTATAGGTCACTAGGCCACTTGTGAGATGCCTATACCGTGACAGGTGAAAATTAAGTGGTTTGAAGTGCTCTTCATAAGGTTTGAATTCGAGTCCCCGAACTGATTTCGTTCCTATAGTATGAGTGAGGCCAATTAAAAGTGTTGCACCTTTAAATTCGCCTAAAATACTTGTCCGTGGTGTGATCGTAAGGCACTTTTGTCGTAGTTAGCGTAAGACTTGAGGGTGAACATCCCAGTCCACCTGCCGTAGATTGCTCAAACACCTGTTGTTGGTAGAATGTTTTAGCTCAGTATCGCTAATAAAACTGAGTCATGACGATGTAACCACTCCCCCTTATGACCGCCAGGATTAGGAAGTCTCTGAACTAAAACTAACCACGTAAACCTAAGAAAGTAAATTGAGGCAAAACTACAGTTAGCTGCTGATTCGGACAAAACTCGAAGTTACGGATCGTTAGGCAGAAAACAGATCTTTTGGGGTCGAAAACAGTACTTTTGTTGCGTAAAGAATTAAAAATCACGTGAGGATCACACTTCCTGTTCACAAAGCGCGCGGATTTGCTTAGTTCTTACTGTCAATTGAAAGCATTATTCCACATGTTTTGTTTCCTTATAGCTGTGCTGATGAGAAGTGTAACAACTCTGATCACAATCCGTCTCCGTGTAAATTTAAAACTTACTGAAGGCCGTTTTTGTAGTTCCGCCAAATGAACATGGTTCAAATGGTTGTGGACGGAATAGAAGAAGCTTTCGCCTAACAGGCTTCCGTGTCTAGTAGCAGGGGATCACCAAATCCTCCAGGCAGGAACCTAAGTATGTTAACAATAAAAAAGGAAAAGAAATCGGTAAATCATAATGTGATTCTGTCCTTGGTCCTTAAGAATAGGTCAAGTTGCCTCTTGAAGGACTCCTGAGAAGTCGCTTGGACTAGCTCGGCCGGCAGCGAATTCCAGCTTTTGACAACTCTTAAGGAGTAGAAGTTGTGTCTACATTCCGTCTTGCTATGTTGTGTTTCCAGTTTCTGGGTGTTACCCCTTAGGTTATTATTCGAACTACTTAAGCTTAAGTAGGTGTTTAAGAGGATGTCCAGAAGTGTTAAGAATACTATAAGCCATTAGTAAATCACCTCTAAGACGCCTATATTCTAGTGGGTAAAGGTCTAGTGAACGGAGGCGTTCTTCGTAAGGCTTAGATTTGAGTCCTCGAACTGATTTCGTGGCTCGCCGTTGGATACGCTCCAAAGTGACCTTGTCCTTTTGGAGTGAGGGGGGAGTACTATGTTTCCGTACTCTAAATGGAGACGGATGAAACTATTGAAGATTGTATGGAAAGTTCGTCCGTCAAACTGTCCAAAAATGCGCTTCAACGTTACCAGTGCAAGGTTTGCTCGGAAGGCATTTTTGTCACAGTTAGCTTAAGACTTTAAGTCATGGGGCACCAGGACTCCTAAATCTTTTTCGACTTGAGATACTACTAGAGAGGAGTTTCCTAAGTTGTAACTGTAGTTTGCGACATGTCGCAGATGGACTACTTTACACTTTGAAGTGTTAAAGGTAGGTCCGTTATCGTCTGCCGAACTTTGAAGTCGAGTCAGATCCTCCTGAAGTGCCTGTATATCGTCTTGGTTGCGTATCTCTTTCCAAAGTTTCACATCGTCGGCAAAAAGTAATAAGTCTGACGTTACCTGTTGAGGAAGATCATTTATGTAGATCAAGAAGAGAAGAGGCCCTAGTACTGAGCCCTGGGGGACCCCACTAGGACATTCCATAGCCTGAGATAAAGTGAAATTAACCCTAACCTTAAAGTGTCGATTTTTTAGGTATGAAGTAAGCCAATCGATTAGAGGTAGTTTGATACCTAGTCGTTTGAGCTTGTTGATAAGACACAAGTGGTTTACCTTATCAAAAGCTTTTGAGAAATCAAGGTAAATGACGTCAACCTTTCCCTTGCAATCGAGGATGCTTGTCCATTTGTCCACCGCAGTCAGCAGGTTGGTTATACAAGAGTAACCCTTCCTGAAACCATGCTGTTGGGGTGAGAAGAAATTTAAGGACAGTAGATAGTCATTTAAACCGTCGCATATCAGGGACTCCATGAGTTTTGAAGGTAATGACAGAAGAGCCGCCGGCCGATAACTTGAAGGTTTGTAGTGGCATTGGACAATAGCCACACAATCCACAAAGCTGTGAACACGAGACTACTCAGAAAATAGATATTCAATATTTAACTCGGGGAAATACCTAACAATGGAGAAGGCGCAGAGAATGAATTGAATGGACTGAGTTGATCGAGTGGCATGGCTCGGCCATGCAGGCGTGGTCCCTGCTGGATGTTATCTTATATCTCCTATTCATATTAAATATATTGTTCTTTCTCTAGCCTAACCTTGTTCTACATCATGTATTGGTAATTGATACCATACAGTGAGTTGGTGTAGTCGATGGTGTGACTTCCACGTAAGATCTTATAGATTAGGCAGTTATATCATGACAAATCTACAATTTTAGGATTAGGTCTATTATTAGAGCAGTACTAATATCATAGTAGACCATAATTCTACATTGGTGAGCCCAACTAAAGAAACGCAACCCATTACTGTTAATCCTTATTTTCACCTTAACCTCAATCGGTTTTTATTTTTGTAAGCCCAGTATTCGTATAGTCCTTTGATTAATGGTCACATATATTATCGTAATGTTATATCTATTAGTTCACATAACTTACTAGGTCACATATATTATCGTAATGTTATATCTATTAGTTCACATAACTTACTAGGTCAATCGATAATAAAAGTTCATCATCTATATCAACTAATTAGCTTTGATGGTTCGTTAACAAGCTTGAATAGCATTTTTACATGCTTCAGCAACATAGACTTGTTTAAACATCAAGCTCTAGCAAATATGACCTGTAAATAGCGTAAATATACATTGACTAACAATGCAATCAAGGACTGAATAGTTATCTGGATCTAATTCTCAATGTTTCTTCACTTAACACCTCATCCTGTTTTAAACTATGCACTATCCTGTAATATCTTTTCTTCCGATCACTGCCTGCCTAAGTTCATATTCTCGAGTTCCATTGCCAAACAACAAGGATGACACTTCTCCAAAAAATACGGTGAGTTCCAGCTATAAGTTTTCTGCAATCATAAGTTCATTTTAGATGGCTCATTCAATGGCACACACAATTATCTGGATTCATTCAGTTGTTCTGATCAGAGCGAGTCCCAAAAACCTCAACAGCATCAAGCACCCTGGAAGTGATTGCCATACTGCATGTTTAATTCTGGATACTTTTGGATCATTTCTACTCCTTACGAATGGCGTTATATATGTCGTCCACTGAATAATCTAATTTTCAAAAATAATCCAGGCGAGTTCAACTATTTTACTGGATGATTTTTTTGTACTTAACATGTATATGTTTTCCAGTTGCTTTTGCCACATATTTGTAAGTGTCCCTAGGCTAAATGCAGTAACTTCTTATGGAATGTTTATAACGCGTTACATTCCTGTCTGAAGTTTCATAAACAGTCTTGACTTTAAAATTACTTTTCCTGGTCATGTTCATTATTTTTAAATTTTTATATACGTCAACAACCTGCATGTTAACGTGGCCCGTACATACGTTACACTATATCTTCATATCTTTTGAATTTAGAAATCATCTGAATCGCCTTTAACATTTATCAATAAACCCACCATAGTCGTTGTTGCTAATCATATTTGGGTTTATGGATTGGTTTATCATAGTAGCAGCCTAAAATGCAAACATACTTTAGATAATAAGATTAAAAATTTAGGTACTATCAACTGCACTTGTAAAATAACTAAATCCCTAGGTAGCTGTTGGCTAAATAAACGTTTAAAATCAAAACTCCGTAGCCTACTAGAATTAACACTAAACGAATCTTTCTGATATAAAATTTATAATTAAATTAGGCGTCTCGGATTCTTTAACGTTACAAATTTCTGATAATTTCGAATCACCTAAAGCAACAATACCTATTTTTCCACTGAATAATCCTCATTCAACACTATAACTAGTTAAACATAGTAGTTCCAGGATATCGTCATAAAGCATTGTCATGACTTGACAATCACGTAATATGATTGATAAAATTAATGAAACTATTAACAAAATCGGTCAGCAAATTGATTTACAATTATCACTAGCGTTGTTTTTCTTTTATCTTCATTCAATACAGATGATTACAGTATGTTTCTCTATCGGTTGCTTATTCAGTAAATATCTCAAAACCTTGTCAGTCTAATTGATGGTTTAGCGACACAATCATGCATGCAAATAATCAGTATAAGCAGTCAAGCAAATCTCCTGCAAACTGAAAACATCAATGTCGAATTTACCCCAACACTGACTAAGGTTCAAGCCATTATCATAGACATGAGTTGGGAGTGTACTCCCCCTGGTTACAACTTATGTTCTCCCTGATAATCACATGAGCATCACTCACCATTAATCATCTTCTAAAAACTTATTTAGCTAAATACATCTTGCAATACCACATCACTTCGTAATATGACACAGGCCTAACTGATTTTAATAACTTATAACCACTATATCTCAATTAAATCGTATTCCGCCTTATTATAAACTGCATACTTGCAACTAACTTGTATGCCCAATCAGCCAGCAAGTATAAATATAAATAAATAGTCTGCCACAGATCAGAACATTGAGTCTAGAGCATGTCTCTTACGAATACACTCATGTTTAACGATTTGTTCCTAGCTATCTGTCCAAAATTCATATAATCATCACTTACGTATTTAAATTTTGTTTTGATAAACATTCATGTGTATTAGTAGTATTACTACATTCTATCACGGTCAAGTAAAAATGAGGTTGAGAAAATCTCCCCGTAACTAAATAAACCGTATCAAACTGACTGGAACACTAGTTGGAATTCTTCTCCACGGTATACTTTTGTTCCTTCAGTTAGCCTACTAATACAGATGCAATTGGAATTCAACTCTTATGGACAACATACCGGCATAATCGTTATTCGATTTCATAATTTAAACCAAAACTAATACCAATATTAACATTTCTACAATATTGATTGCTTTTAATATTTCTAAACACAAAATACTACCTAAACGTTAAATTATTAACCAACGGCTATCAACACGCATCGTTTTATTATTATTATTATTATTGTAATCCCATTTTTATAGTTCAAATAATCTTCAACCAAATTTTCATTTTAAGCGTGTTAATCATGAAAGCAGATATTTTAAGATTATTGCATATATTTCCCGACCAGATGCTGCCGTCTTTTTGATATATCATTCAGCTTATCAATACCTGGAGGATCCTTATTATCCTTGGTAACCTCCGGCGCGCGACGATCCCATCCAATTTGGTATCGAACCAACATCACGTTGATTCTGGTGGGAGAGTAGTGTAGTGGCATTGGACAATAGCCACACAATCCACAAATGCTGTGAACACGAGACTACTCAGAAAATAGATATTCAATATTTAACTCGGGGAAATACCTAACAATGGAGAAGGCGCAGAGAATGAATTGAATGGACTGAGTTGATCGAGTGGCATGGCTCGGCCATGCAGGCGTGGTCCCTGCTGGATGTTATCTTATATCTCCTATTCATATTAAATATATTGTTCTTTCTCTAGCCTAACCTTGTTCTACATCATGTAT